CTGTATGTTCTTCTTAAGCTGTGTTTAGGCTTTCTAGGTTACAAGAAAGTTGGAAACGTTCCTATAAAATTAAATAAAAAACAATTTTGAGTTTACATGATTTTATTGTTTTTACAAAGTCAAAGTTATAAATTAATCAACTCAAACTATCAAATGTCATACTAAAATTGACTCTATTTTATTCCCTTTAGAGCCATAATAGCATCACATACCTCCATAGGACATGTCGTTATTAATATAAAAATAAATAGATATAAGGACTTAAACACTAGTAGTTTGACTAGGAACTACTGAGTGATGTGAAATTATCTTTTTACATAATATTTATTTAAACACACGAAAACGTATTAGAACCAAATTAATTTCTAGAGCGGTGATGTACCTTAGTAGTATTTAGTAGTACTTAAATTGAATTATAAAAAAACAAAAACAAAAATACCTTCTAAAGCAAAAAAAAAAACGCAGACCAAAACATAAAAAATAACATTATTGTGACAAATCATTTTTATTTACAATATTGATGTTAATTTTCATAGATAGCTTAATGTAGATTATTGGTGGGCAGGGTATCAGATACCATGGTACCGGCAATTGCCGGTTATGGCATTTAATTATTTTTCACAAATATAAAAACAAACTCCAAACTGGGATTATAGAAGAAGTACGAAACACTATTAAAGCAGCCTTGAAAATATTTATCATAAATTAAACATATTTTAGGACATTTGGAAATCGATATAGATATAAAAGACATGTGTATTCGTAAATTATAAAAAGTCTATTTGAAAATCTAGTATGTAGTGGAATCGAAAATCACAATAGTTTCTTTGCTTTCTATTAATATTAATCTATCTGTTTGTCATAATATGAACAAAAGTCCTCAAAGTGGTGGGTACTATACAATACATTCTCAATTTGTATTTACATAATATCTGCAATGAAATACCATAATGGAAGTAGTGTGAAGACATATTTCTCTCGTAATATTCTAGATATTTACGAGAAACTACATACTCGTAAAATTAAAGAATACATGATGAAAAAAACTCTTGGGAAAGAGATAACCATGCTGTTTCTAAATGTTTTATATAAAATTGTATAACATTGTTCCTCTCAAGACAGGCTTTTTCCGAACCAGTGGTACAAGCATAATGACTTTCAATATGTATTACTTGTACAACCTCTTGCCTAGGAGAGTAAGATGGAATGCCTTATAGCCTGAAACTATACTCTAACACTGGAATTCATAATCGAGACATAGGCTTCCCTAGGGCAAGATTCAGGCGAATTCGTCCTTTAAGCATTTCATATTAAAAAGATCCCACAAATTGCCTGATGTCAGTAGTTTATTGCCGACAGCGCAAATTTCGTTAAGCAATTTAAAAAAAATTAATTTAATGGAACCGCAGACCGCAAAATATAATTACTTTTATTATATATAAAAGTATATTGTGGAAGTAACTAGAAATTGTGGAGGTATATTTTTTTTTATAGGATAAGGGTGACAAACGAGCACAGTCCACATGATGGTAAGTGGTTGCTGTGACCCATAGACATCTACATCTATCCTCGAATGCGAATCAAAATACAGATGCATTGTCAGCCGTGAGGACCAAGATGGAATGCCTCTTTTCCAGTAAAAATGGTCTCCGGTTCTCTACGAGATTCATCTGTAATTATTTGTGAAAAATAAAGAATGATTCGACTTCCTAGTAAATGATGAATTCCGGGAGACTGTTCACCCTTTGGCTATAAATTCCACTGTTACCAAAATACCAAAACGTATTGTATTCCGGTTTTACTAATACAGCTATCTATTCTTAAAAAATCCTTATTAGCTCTTTCGTGGTAATATTTTCTTACAGAAATAGCAGACTTATAAACTTCGTATAAGTCTGTTTTCGTTAAAAGATTTTTGTTTTAACGCTCCTGACTAGACCTCCGGATACAATGCGATCAAAGTCAAAATAGGAATGTCAATGACCTCGAACATCTACTGTCACTCGAAAAGTACGGTTCGCAAGGAAAATTATCATAATATACAGAACGTTTATTTCTTTTTCTTATTTAATCGCCAAAAATCTAATTGCGATTTGCCTACATTTACTAGGTACGATTGGCAGAAAGAGACATATCTGTAGTTTTACTATATATATTGTCATATGTTTTTAGCTTGGCGCCTGGTGAGTCATAGGCATCCTTTCTAATATGGAATTAAAAGGTTAAATAACAGTAAGAGGAATACTTTACATACCTACAATTTTCATAAAGAAATAACAGCAGCGATTATAACTTTTCTAACAATGATGCAGAAATTAGCGAAATAGAAGAGTTAGATTCAGATTCAAACATTTTATTCGAGATTTAAAACTCATCATTATTTTGTAAATAAATATTTTCTCAAAAATATCTGTTTTGCTCACCCTACTTATCCGGGTTCTACTGACAGCTAAAAAATCACAATATGATCGCATTGTACAGTTGACAATATCAAGAGACCTTACTTATTATACCATTTAAGTAAACATACGTAATATATAAATAGTCATAACGATTATTATGGTGATTGAATGGGTCCTCAATCAAAATTAAAATAATTGAGTTGCCTTGAGATTAAGTTAATTTATGGTAAAAAGTATACAGCTAGGTATTGGCCTTTGTAAAAAGAGAGGCGATTTTGCGAACATAGTTCATAGTACTGAACACTTTTGAGACGTTGCTTCAAAAGAAGGAATATGAAAACGTCTGTTCATATTTTTGATTACGAGCGTAATGACGGTATTATATACTACTAATAAACAATATGTTTACTTGTAGTTCAGTCAGTAAAATAATATCATTTATACAAATACAAAGTATGACAAAATTATAACACCTAAAAATAATTAAGTACTAATTACCTACAGTAAAATTGAAAGTTCAAAGTTTATATATAGCTAAATCTATTTAAAAAAAAAACTATGACTTCCTCATTTTTAAACACAATTTATTATTAATTAAACGACATTCAGTACCGTTACAACCACCTTTTGTATATGCAGGTAACGGAACATTATTTACTAGGTACTGTTGCACATAAAAGATCTTAATTTATATGAAAAAGAAAAAAATATGTACAATCGCGCAGAAACTAAACGTAGTAAAATTATATCGTTAGAGGCGGCGTGACGTCGTGGCAACGGAACTTATATTATGCATTATGATAAGTTATGCCTTACTAAATATAAAATACAAAAGTACGAAAAATAAATTGTTAATTTGTTTTTTTTTTTACTATTATAAGCCAGTGCTTGTCTACTATCCCAGCTGATAAGTGGCGATGCAACTGAAGATGGTATAATTCACAGAATTGGGTTAGGTCTATTCACTCTTGCCTTGAAGCAAATTATTGCAGTCTGGTATACGTGCGACGAACGACGAGGCAAACTTCTTCTAATTGGTTGGTTCAAATGTGGTATGTTATTTATTTTTTATTTTATAGAAAAACGGTGACAAGCGAACACCTGATGGCAAGTAGATGTAGCAACCCATAGATATCTACATCTACCCTCGATTAAGAATTCAAATTGCAGATGCGTTGTCACCCCTGATGACTAGGACTTCTTACTCACAAATTAACAATTTATATTTTTCCTTACGCTATTCTTTTGATAATATTCTAAGTTTTCGTGTGCCGGGCTCAGGCCAAGAGGACGAAGTGGGGCGTACATTTCAAGTGACGCCAAAACCATGCTCAAATATTTGACACGCATACATATAAGTTCATAGTTGCACGAATAACTATGCACCTAAAACCTTGTTGGTTGCAAATTATTCTAGATGCACGTGTGTGCGTAGGTCGTTTACCAAGATACGAAGTAATCTATACTCAGGGTTTCTAAGCGTAATAGACGACAGGCAAACAATGAGGATATTCGCAGTAAAACCGGAGTAACCGACATAGCACGACGAATCAGTAAGCTAAAATAGCAATGGGCCGGCCATATATGAGATGGGGAAGAAAGGGTCTTGAGTGGCAGCCTCGTATCGGCAGGCGAAGTATAGGGCGATCCCACAGTATATAATGACGACCTGGAAAGAAATGCAGGAAGTCGATCGATGCAGGTGGCTCAGAACCGTGTTTACGGCATTCTTTGTGGGAGGCCTTTGATGTACATAGGTACAGTAAAGGATTTATGATGGGCTCTATCATGAGTGCCTTTTCTTACAAACATTTGAGCATCCTTTGGTTTTGGCGTCGCTTGAAATGTACGTAGCGCCCCGTCAATCTCTCTCTCTCTCTCTCTCTCTCTCTCTGTTAGTTTGAGGTAACAGGATGTTTATACAAAAACTGTTATTCTATACAATCTACATAACGTAACGATAGGCAGGCTACAAGAAATATGCATGTTCAAAAACATAGAACACCTTATCTCTATGTATATTACAATACAGAAAAAAAGAAATTTCAAGTAACATTAAGTACCAAGTTAAGATCATTCAATTTATTCAACAAGATAATTTCTAAATTAAATTACATTATATTCCTAAACATATGTACTATGTCAACAAATATGCAAAGATAGAAATTGACAAATTACATCTACGTTTTATAATTTAAATATATCTATAAAGATGAAAAATTGTACTTAACAAAAATATATATATATCCTAAACTGTATGTGAGCAACTTTTATATACATGTTAATAATATAATATAATTGGTTTCTCGGAAACAGTTCTAACGAAATGAAATTTTGTATTTGCAGCCGTAAACAGGTTAGAAAGACCAAATGGTCTTTTTTTAATTTAAACCTTTATAGTAAAGCTAAAGCTGGATATTCACCTTTTTTATAGTTGTTAAGTTTAAATACGCTTCCATCGTCTTACAAAAACTTTAACCTCAAAAATGTATACAAATGATTAAACAAAACTGCTCTTCTCGGCAAAATAAAAATTAAACTTATGATAATGGTAATAAATTTCGTTATGTATGTATTGTAATCTCACGTTCTATGATGTCACTGAAAGTAATTTCTTTTCTTCCTCGAGATCCTGGAAAAAAATAAAATCATATAAATAAATAATTATTTCATTAACGCAACAAATCAAATAAATTATAAAATAGAAAATACAACTGACATGAAATTACCCCAATCAATTTTTCTGACTCCTATAAATGAGAATATTATCAAAAAAACAATAATGTCTTCAAACAACACAAAATCTGAAGGCTATGACTCCATATGTACTAAAATAATTAAATCGTGTAAGGATGAAATAATTGAAATATTAGCATTCCTGATAAATCTTTCACTAGAGTCAAGGACTTTTCCTGATAAATTAAAACTTTCAATAGTAAAACCTTTATACAAAAAGGGAGATAAAAGTGACATAACCAACTATCGACCAATCGCACTAGTCCCAGTCCTCTCAAAACATAGATTACCTCCTAATAGATACCGCATCATTGAATATTTGTTCTGTTTCGAGTTCACCAAATTTGGCCCTATCCAAGGGTTGCGGGGGACGTGGCAAATGCGCTGTGATTGGATATTTAAAGGTCAAACTTAGAATTTACCAAACCATAGTGATGGAACGGGGTTGGGACGTTGATCGATAAATTTGGGATTTATTAATTATTGATAATGATAAATAAATATATTGATCAATTTTTATTTGATGTTTATGAAAAAATTAAACATTGTATACATATATTTGTACATTTAATTTATAAATATATATTTGATTGATTTTTAAAATGGATAATCTTAGTATAAAATTGTCTCACAGAATTCTTAGGATCTGTCTTCCTGGATGAGTAGAGTAATCTTACGAGTATGTATTTTTCCATAACACTCTTAGCTAAATCAATGACATGATTACAATTTTCGTGATCGAATTGGTGATTTTTTTATTTCATGAAAAATATCATCATTAACAAAACTGCTTATTTATTTATATTTATTATTTTTATTATATATATATATATATATATATATACATATATATATATATATATATATATATATTATATATAATTTTATTATAATTATTATTTATAATTAAGCTTAATTGATTGTGTTAAAACTACAAACTTTCCTAGTGTTTTTACAGAAGGTAAAGAAGTATTAAATGTTTTGCGTACATAATTATAAGCCTAGCTGAGTAATTTATGGTGAGTGCAAAAGCTCTTAATTGTGGTGAATATTTTTTTCTAACAATTTTGCCTGATTTTCTAGATTTTCATTTTTCTAAGGAACTTAATGCGTCATTGTTTTCCGCTGCTAATGAATTTTTGTTTTCTAATTCTACCAATAATGACTTCAAAGAAACTATTTGTGTTTTTAGTCTTCTGTTGGAATCACTTAACTTTTTAACTTTTTTATCTTTTTTGTTCATTACGTTGGTTAATTCAATGATTCTTCTACAAAGACGTTTTTAACTAGAGTATCAAATGCAGATGGCGTATCAGGTATAGGCGAAAATTTTCTTTTTTGTTTTGTAGGCGTTTCTAAGCAATGACTCTGATTTTTAGGTGTTGGCGGGTTTTTCGCGTCTTTCAGCGGTGAACCAGTAATCTAAATCAGAAATACATATTCGTTTCTTTTAAAACATTACCGATATAGTATTATTAATTAATACACCATACGGCACGTCTTCCAAATTTAGATGTACTTAATAATTATAATAAGATAATACTGAAGTTCATGTAACACTAAATACCAAGTGAAAACAATAATCACATTATAACTTTTACAAGTTTTATGATTTATAAATCCGTTAAAAATAGCTTGATTTCGACGTGTAACATTTACCTAAATATAAGGATATCATGTTTCACTCAACCACTTAATGATATTATTGTGTAATCCACGTTAGTACTAATCTTTAAAAAAATGCAAAAGTCCATACCAAAACTGGCAAGAATCCAATAGCTTTATACGATTTTACATAATATTATGAAGATTGTCTTCTGTGAAGTGTTTTGAGCATAGTACACTATTTTTGGTGGGAAACCATTCGTCCCCTCGACAATTTGCATCGATCGACATCTTTTTTCCTTTCGGGGCATTTAGGAAAACTATAACATATAGGTACCACAATGATACGTCACTATTTTTATAAAATAATATGACTTCGAAAAAAATAATTAAACGATGACCAAACAAATATCGACTTAAAAATCACAACACTATCGATACACGTGCTGTTGTTAGACAAAGACAACTATTGTAATTTACGTAACGAGTGAAAGGGACATTTCAAAAAGACATCAACGGGTGCTTAATTGTTATCACTTTGCACCATTAAATATACCAGTATAAGTTGATCTCCGGTGCATTTGAAATAGGTTAACGTGATAAGAATAGAATTTACTTACCGATTAAAATTTATGCCATCTTTTTGATAACTGGATGTCTTAGCTGACTTGTCACACCATTTTACTGCACAGGAAGCCATTTGTAATGTATTTTGGATACAAAACTATTTTTAAATTGTTAAGAACTCGGACGTACCTACGGATCACAAACTTGGTCGATACTGATGTCGTGATTCTTAGCTTCGCTTCGTATGCTAGCTACAGCAAGTATGTGTTGCGCGCGTTTGTGGCCCTGTATGCGGAATCTATTAGGAGGTAATCTATGTCTCAAAAGTATTTGAAAAGGTGATGCATTACCAACTTACTTCCTTTTTTAGTAAATTTAAGGTGATAAAACAAAATCAGCATGGTTTCCAAAAAAATAAATCCATAACACATGCCGCGTTTACATTAGTGAAGGAAGTCTTGCAAAATTTAAATCAAAGAAACTATATAACTGTAGTATTTCTTGACATGTCGATAGCCTTCGATCGCGTCTCACATGATCAGTTACTTATCAAACTAGAGGCTAACGGCATAAGGGGGCCTGCATTAAGTTGGCTAGAAAGCTATTTGAAAAATAGGTCACAGTGTTTAGAAATAACACAATTAAATTCTAACAACATAGCTCAGGTATATAGATCGGAATTCAAAAACAACAATTTTGGTGTTCCCCAAGGTAGTATACTCGGACCATTGTTGTTTATATTATACATAAATGATTTACCTGATATCTCCAACTACAAAACTACTTTATTTGCAGATGACATCTCGGTGACGATTACAACTAGTAAAAAAGTACACTTGATCAACACAAAAGCGACATAGTTAAAACAATTAATTCAGTAAATAAATGGCTCAATAAAAATAATCTACACATTAATTTCAGTAAAACAAATATTATTAATTTTAATAACTTAAATTCTGATATAAATATTGAATATAATGGACAAATTCTGCGGAACGCTATTAGTACGACCTTTCTAGGTTTAATTATAGACTCAAATCTAAATTGGATAGAATATATCCATAAAGTAAGTAACAAAATTAACAGATTTGTATACGCGTTACATAAATTGACAAAAATAGTAAACAAAAACACTGCGATCACAGCGTATTTTGCATATGTAGAATCTGTTATCAGATACGGACTTTTAATGTGGGGTAATGGCACAGACTGTCAAAAAGTGTTTTGCTCAAAAGCGCTGTATTAGAGCTATAAGTAACATCCCATCGGACACATCATGCAAGCCTTATTTTAAGAGTTTAAACATACTTCCTTTTCCCTGCCTCTATATGTTTGAGGTTGGCAAATTTGTAAAGCAAAACAAGCACATGTTTTTACAAGCTAAAGATGTTACAAAAATTAACTTACGGAACCCAGATAAACCTAGTACTAGATACAATTCCAAAAAGTAAGCGCTTTCAAAAAAATAGCTATGCAATGTGCAACACTATTTATAATAAAATACCCTCACATATTAAGCAATTTCCATACCACAAGTTTAAAATTTCATTACGACGATGGCTGGTAGAAAAAACATTTTATACAATAAATGAGTTTTTAAATTGTAGTGATTAAGTTGTCGCTGCATGAATTAATTTATTTATATTAATTTATTTATTTATTTATAAAATTTGTAAAAGGATGTTTTTAGTTATGTGTTTTAGATTAAATTTAGCAACCAATTATCTTATAAAAATTATTGGACATTTGCATGTTGTTGAAAACAGCTAAATAGGTTTTCTTAACACATTGTTTTATAACACCAAGAACAAAATATTTTGTATCTATTTACTAGCAAATAAAGAATTTGAATTTGAATAAAGCACTGTTGACTGTTAATTAAATAATATTCTTTCTATTTTCAAATTTAAATTTTTTTAATTTTTTAATTTAAATTTTTCTAGGTGGTAGGAGTCCCTTTCTGGATAGGAGTGTCTGGATAGATACCATCTTCTTGCCGATATTTGCTATCAAATAAACTATCATTCTATCTTAGCCCTTAGAGGTGACAACTCATCTGTAGCCGGTTTTGTTCGCTGACGCGAGTGTTTTTATTATTATTTTTAATTGTTATCAGGAAGATCAGCAGTATCTTGTTCAGATTATTGAATTGCTTGGAATGGAGCGAACAGTGAGCTAACGAGCTTTGAACAAACTACGCGCAGGCGCTTAAATAATATAATACTTCAATTTGCACATTATATTGTACCTTTAAGTTCCCAATTATACCAGTTTTCTATAAAATTAGTCATTTATTTAGTCTTACAACATATAGAAAGAAATACTGCCCCATCTCTTGTTCTAGTTCTCCTTGTCGCTCTTTATGAAATCCACGGGACAATATGGGGTATTAAATATTCTTATAACGCTTTTATATTGTAATATTACAGTTGTTTTTTATGTGGTAGAGTTATGCTGCAGCTATATTAGTAGTATAGTTGTAGCACGAATGGGTCTGCTCGACCGGGGAAGGACCACGCTCTCACAGAATACCAGCGTAAAATAGCAGCTTAACGCTGGTGTGTTTCGTATGGTGAGTGTAGAGAACCGGAGACCCTTTTTACTGGAAAAGAGGTATTCCATCTTAGTCCTCACGGGTGACAACGCATCTGCATTTTAGATTCGCAAACGAGGATAAATGTAGATGTCTATGGGCCACAAAAACCACTTACCATCAGGTGGACTGTGTGCTCATTTGTCATCCTATCCTATAAAAAAGTCGGAAAAGTAAAAATAATAGAATATAAAAAAGGTTCAGTTAAAAGTAGATATGATTTTGACTATGTAATGAGTTTGGTTCATGTGAGTTATCAAGAGTCGGCGGTGATACTGACCCGGTGTCGGCCGGCGAGAAGAAGAACCCCCTGGGCTTGGTGGGCGTGGGCAGCGCGGGGTCGGGCGGGCAGGCCCACTGCGCCCAGTAGTCGCCCGGCAGCCGCAGCAGCAGCTGCATCACCTGCGCGCGCGCACAGCCTTGTTACACTACACTCATTTACTCATTTCGTTCCGGGCAGACCCAGTATTTTATTGACGTCAGAAAACAAAGTTTTCATATGTCAAATGTCTTTTTTCTTTAAATCTATTAACATTATAAAATATGGCACGTCTGATCGGTGGAGAAACGACAAACGGCGACATCAGACGTGGAATTACTGGGTCACCCGCCCTATAGCCTCGACATTGCAATTTCTATTTGTTTCTGAGAATAAAACAAAAACTTCGACGACATCATTTTATGGACGCCGAAGGAGCAGTGGCTGCGTTTCAAAGTGCCGTCGAAGAGACCCGTAAGGCCGCGTTCCGACGACACGCACCCGCCACGCGCACGCCACGCGCACGCCACGCGCTCCAGCACCCGCGTCTAAATCGCTTTGAAATTTGTTGCATATAATTTAAGTCTTATGGCAAATCAATAAATCTGAAATTGCATTTATCGACATTCAACCGCACACGCCTCGCACACGCCACACGTCCGCCTCGTGTCCGCTCCGCGCCGGTCCCGCGCTCGCCCCGCACACGCTCTGCACCCGCCCCGCTACGTCCTACGCCCGCGCTTTTTGTACAATTTCAGATTTATTGATTTGCCATAAGACTCAAATTATATGCAACAAATTTCAAAGCGAGTTAGAAGCGGGTGCTGACGCGCGTGGCGTGGCGTAGCGAATGCGTGTCGTCAGAACGCGCCCTAAGGACGAATGGGCAAAGCGATGTATTGATGTAAATTAACACTATTTTGAAAAGATATAGTAAAACTAATAACTTACTACTTTGTTTAGTTTTTGATTTTCTACGAACTTTCAGTGTCACCCTCGTACATACAAAAAAAATACAGTCGAGTAAAAAAGATCCCCCTTAATAAAATTATTTCATGAATTACTTATATTTATACAAATAATATACAAATAACAATATACAGACAAAACATATACATACATTGAACATTTGTGCAGTGGCGCTGTACATTTCAGCCGCCTGCGTCATCATACCGTAGCCCACGATAGTTGGGCCGAAGATTTTTGCCAGGTTTTCTATCCCCATCTCGCATTCTGGACTCTCAGCAACCCTGCAGAACGTTACGAAGATTTATTGCATTCATTTTTCTAAATGAATTAGATGTGGCTCTTGGATTATTTACGCTGACACTATTGACAGCGTAAATTATGAGCGTGTTTGTATGTATAGTCCGTTCCCGTTAAGAAAATAGTGAGTCATCGTTGTCCGCCGGCCTGGCCACGCTCCGCAGCCAATTAAAATGCAAGAAATTAGAAAGTCGACTTCACAGTGACCAGATGAAGTCATGCCTTCGAACAAAACGGTTGTGTATTTTGCGTGTTACTCGTTCAACATTAAATTTTGAAAATTAATACCTCACCTATTCAAAAGAATAAAAGTCGATCAATAATCCATAGCGAAGAGAGACGCGTAATTTACAATGTTTATAAGTACATTAAACTGTGTGATTTAAATGCGACTGTGGAGAGCATAGTAATAAAAACAGCAAGTACATGTGTTGTGTCCGAAAATACTGTTTATAAAATTATTAAAGAACAAAAGGATACTAACACATTAAAATCACCCGTGAAAAAAAGAGCTCGACTATCGACGGTCGATAAATTAGATGAACTAGACAAATGTGCAATAAAATAAAATGCTAGAGAAAAGTTCACTCAATATATTTAAATAACGACTACCCGACATTGGACAAAATTATGACACATTGCGAAGCTGACGAAGATATTCCTGTTTTCAAACGTACCACACTTCATAAAATAATGCACGAGCTTGGTTTCGATTTCAATAAACAGGATAGCAGAACATTGTTAGTCGAAAGAGAAGATATTGTTTTATGGAGGCGTAAATATCTGAGGCAAATAAAAGAATACATAGCAGCTAATAAAACCATTTACTATCTTGACGAAACGTGGGTAAACGCCGGACACGGTAAAGACAAAAGCATGGTTGGATAAAACGGTAAAAAATAAAAGACAAGCCTTTCTAGATGGCTTATCAGCCGGTCCAAAAGCTCCGACAGGAAAAGGTAAAAGGTTAATTGTATTGCACATTAGCAGCGACAAAGGATTCGTGTAAGATGGTCTACTAGTATTTGAATCTAAGTCTACAAAAGACTATCATGAAGAGATGGATGGTGAAAGATTCCTTAATTGGTTCATTAATATAATGCCTAAGCTAGAACCAGGAAGCGTGGTTGTCATGGATAACGCTCCCTATCATTCGGTAAGAGTCGAAAAAACAACCAGCTGGAACAAGCAGCAAATAATAGATTGGCTGCAAAGCAAAGGCAAATTCATGGACATGACTTATTTAAAAAAAGAATTATTAATGAAAGTTGCCGAAATCGCTCCACAATATAATAAATATTAGATGAGACTGCCAAAAGTAATTGCATTACAATTCTTCGCCTACCGTCTTACCATTGCAAACTTAATCCAATAGAATTGGTTTGGGACCAAATAAAAAATTATGTTGGTGCCAATAACTCCACATTCAAAATGAGTGACATAGAAAAATTATTAGATGACGCAATAGCATTATTAGATGCTAATCGTTGGAAGAAGTGCTGCGACCACGTGATACGCGAAGAAAATACCATGTGGAATTTGGATGACATCATGGAACTTGCAGAACAAAATTCTTTCATAATGAATGTAACAGAATCTAGCGATACTGATTAGTGATTTAAGTAATTTTAAGAAAATTTGTTTCCATTAAACTTAATTAAATGTTGGAAAAAAAAAGAGAATTTTTACTCCACTGTGAATACACCTTTACCATGTAGTTGCACTGATGACTCACTATTTTATTAACGCGAACGGACTATAGGCATTTGTTTTCTTTTAACAGAAGGGTGATTGTGTGCTTTGAAGTTGCGTTGCTCGGCAACTTCAACAAGAGAACTCCACGTTTAATTTAGGCTAATCGTTTGATTTAGGCAAATTTACGTTGCAGTAGTGGGTGGTAGTGTTGGAAAGGGTCTTATTGAGCTAGTAGTCGATATGTTGCAGATAGGCCAAATTAAGAGGACCCTTAAAAAACGATGTATGCGTAGATATGTAGATGTGAAAGAAGTGAGAGGTGGGTCAAGATTATGCTTAATGGAAGTATTATGTACTATACTATCCACTATACTATCTTTGCCTAGCCAGAGGGCTAGGCAAAGATTATAGTGTCAGCACAAGAGTGTGAAGAGCTGTAATGATGATAACGATGATGATGATAATGTGTGTATGTACGTGTGTACATGTACGTGTACGTGTGCGCTCACTTCTGCAGGTGCAGCACGAGGAAGGCGAGCGTGTCGCGGTTGGGCTACGGCAGCGTGTGTGTGTGTGCGTGTACGTGTGTACATGTACGTGTACGTGCGCTCACTTCTGCAGGTGCAGCACGAGGAAGGCGAGCGTGTCACGGTTGGGCTACGGCAGCGTGTGTGTGTGCGTGTACGTGTGTACATGTACGTGTACGTGCGCTCACTTCTGCAGGTGCAGCACGAGGAAGGCGAGCGTGTCACGGTTGGGCTACGGCAGCGTGTGTGTGTGCGTGTACGTGTGTACATGTACGTGTACGTGCGCTCACTTCTGCAGGTGCAGCACGAGGAAGGCGAGCGTGTCACGGTTGGGCTACGGCAGCGTGTGTGTGTGCGTGTACGTGTGTACATGTACGTGTACGTGCGCTCACTTCTGCAGGTGCAGCACGAGGAAGGCGAGCGTGTCGCGGTTGGGCTACGGCAGCGTGTGTGTGCGTGTACGTGTGTACATGTACGTGTACGTGCGCTCACTTCTGCAGGTGCAGCACGAAGAAGGCGAGCGTGTCGCGGTTGGGCTGCGGCAGCGTGTGTGTGCGTGTACGTGTGTACATGTACGTGTACGTGCGCTCACTTCTGCAGGTGCAGCACGTGGAAGGCGAGCGTGTCGCGGTTGGGCTGCGGCAGCGTGTGTGTGCGTGTACGTGTGTACATGTACGTGTACGTGCGCTCACTTCTGCAGGTGCAGCACGAGGAAGGCGAGCGTGTCACGGTTGGGCTACGGCAGCGTGTGTGTGTGCGTGTACGTGTGTACATGTACGTGTACGTGCGCTCACTTCTGCAGGTGCAGCACGAGGAAGGCGAGCGTGTCACGGTTGGGCTACGGCAGCGTGTGTGTGTGCGTGTACGTGTGTACATGTACGTGTACGTGCGCTCACTTCTGCAGGTGCAGCACGAGGAAGGCGAGCGTGTCACGGTTGGGCTACGGCAGCGTGTGTGTGTGCGTGTACGTGTGTACATGTACGTGTACGTGCGCTCACTTCTGCAGGTGCAGCACGAGGAAGGCGAGCGTGTCGCGGTTGGGCTACGGCAGCGTGTGTGTGCGTGTACGTGTGTACATGTACGTGTACGTGCGCTCACTTCTGCAGGTGCAGCACGAAGAAGGCGAGCGTGTCGCGGTTGGGCTGCGGCAGCGTGTGTGTGCGTGTACGTGTGTACATGTACGTGTACGTGCGCTCACTTCTGCAGGTGCAGCACGTGGAAGGCGAGCGTGTCGCGGTTGGGCTGCGGCAGCGTGTGTGTGCGTGTACGTGTGTACATGTACGTGTACGTGCGCTCACTTCTGCAGGTGCAGCACGAGGAAGGCGAGCGTGTCACGGTTGGGCTACGGCAGCGTGTGTGTGTGCGTGTACGTGTGTACATGTACGTGTACGTGCGCTCACTTCTGCAGGTGCAGCACGAGGAAGGCGAGCGTGTCGCGGTTGGGCTACGGCAGCGTGTGTGTGTGCGTGTACGTGTGTACATGTACGTGTACGTGCGCTCACTTCTGCAGGTGCAGCACGAGGAAGGCGAGCGTGTCGCGGTTGGGCTACGGCAGCGTGTGTGTTTGCGTGTACGTGTGTACATGTACAGGGTGGGGCAGCATAACTTCCTTATTTGTAATGCGCGCCATTCGGTCAGGTGACATCGTAGTGGAGCGCTAGTGGTCTCGTTCGAGAGGGGGGGCTATAAAGTTTAGTCGAGACAGCTCAGTCGCCATAATGCGTTGGAACAGTGAGGAGCGTGCGTTTGCTGTTGAGGCTTACTTTTCGCGCGGATGTTCTGTGATTGCAACTCAGCGCGCCTTTCGAAATCGCTTTAATTTAGCCCCGTTGGCCCCTGTTCCAGACCGAAAATCAATTGTTATGTGGGTCACTACGTTTAGACAAACTGCAAGTGTGACAAAACGAAGAACTGGAGTCCCTCGGCCCATTAGATCACCTGAGAACATTGAGGCAGTCAGAGCTTCAATGTTGCGATCACCACGGCGTTCTGCGCGCAAACATGCATCTGCCCTTGGACTTTCCAGTCGTTCTGTGCGGAGAATTCTCCATGAAGACTTACATTTCCATCCATACAAGATGGCGACTGTACAGGAACTGTCAAAACGTGACTACGATTCTCGCAGGAACGCATGTGAGATTCTTCTGGATGTCGTTCCTGAGGACGCTATTGTTTTTTTTAGTGATGAAGCACATTTTCACTTGTGTGGATCCGTGAACAAACAAAACATGCGCTACTGGGCTGACACCAATCCTCGAGAATTGCATGAAAGGCCTTTGCATTCACCTAAGGTCACAGTGTGGTGTGCAATTTCCTCAGCTGCAATTATTGGTCCCTGGTTCTTTGAGGAAAATGAAGTCACAGTAACAGTGAATTCGGGCCGGTATGTAAACATGTTACAGGAATTCTTTTTACCCCGGCTGGATGCGTTGGACTTGGGAGACATTTGGTTCCAACAAGACGGTGCAACGGCACACACTGCAAGAGCATCGATGGCTGTTTTGAGAGAACACTTCCCAGAACGCCTTATCTCAATCAGGGGCGATTTGCAGTGGCCGGCCCGATCTCCCGATTTGTCCCCTTGTGACTTTTTTCTATGGGGTTTTTTGAAATCCCGTGTTTATGTGAACCGTCCAAGGACCCTACAAGATTTAAAGAACAACATCCAGGAAGAAATTGCCAACATAACGCCTGCTCTGCTTCAAAGAGTTATGACAAACACCAGAAATCGGTATACTCAATGTATAGAGAATAAGGGACGTCATCTACCTGATTTGATCTTCAAAACTAAATAAAACAAAACTTTAAGTATGTACTTACATTGTAAAAACCAAATAAAATTTTTCCGATTCATACAATGTGTTTTATTAGGTTTTAAAAAAAGGAAGTTATGCTGCCCCACCCTGTACGTGTACGTGCGCTCACTTCTGCAGGTGCAGCACGAGGAAGGCGAGCGTGTCGCGGTTGGGCTACGGCAGCGTGTGTGTGTGCGTGTACGTGTGTACATGTACGTGTACGTGCGCTCACTTCTGCAGGTGCAGCACGAGGAAGGCGAGCGTGTCGCGGTTGGGCTGCGGCAGCGTGTGTGTGCGTGTACGTGTGTACATGTACGTGTACGTGCGCTCACTTCTGCAGGTGCAGCACGAGGAAGGCGAGCGTGTCGCGGTTGGGCTGCGGCAGCGTGTGTGTGCGTGTACGTGTGTACATGTACGTGTACGTGCGCTCACTTCTGCAGGTGCAGCACGAGGAAGGCGAGCGTGTCGCGGTTGGGCTGCGGCAGCGTGTGTGTGCGTGTACGTGTGTACATGTACGTGTACGTGCGCTCACTTCTGCAGGTGCAGCACGAGGAAGGCGAGCGTGTCGCGGTTGGGCTGCGGCAGCGTGTGTGTGCGTGTACGTGTGTACATGTACGTGTACGTGCGCTCACTTCTGCAGGTGCAGCACGAGGACGGCGAGCGTGTCGCGGTTGGGCTGCGGCAGCGTGTGTGTGCGTGTACGTGTGTACATGTACGTGTACGTGCGCTCACTTCTGCAGGTGCAGCACGAGGAAGGCGAGCGTGTCGCGGTTGGGCTGCGGCAGCGTGTGTGTGCGTGTACGTGTGTACATGTACGTGTACGTGCGCTCACTTCTGCAGGTGCAGCACGAGGAAGGCGAGCGTGTCGCGGTTGGGCTGCGGCAGCGTGTGTGTGCGTGTACGTGTGTACATGTACGTGTACGTGCGCTCACTTCTGCAGGTGCAGCACGAGGAAGGCGAGCGTGTCGCGGTTGGGCTGCGGCAGCTGGCTGACGGCCTGCACCACGGCGGCCGTGGCGTCGCCCGCGTCGGGCAGGCGCGCCGCCGCCATGAAGTCGGCCCACAGCGCCGCCGACACCAGCGGCTCGCGCAGGGAGCGCAGGAAGTCCTTGATGCAGCCGCACAGCACGTGGATGTCCTCGCCCGCCAGCTGCGGCGACCCGCAGCCGCGCAGGAACCGCTCCTACACCGAACACACCCCTCGTTTCTTATTTCATCATCATTCATTTCAACAAAAGTCCTTTGCTGAACATAAACCTCTCCTCGCCTAATTGATCGCTGCACCCTTAGTACGGTACGGCTTGGCACGGCTGCTGCCCATCTACTGTTTCATTTACTTTTTTCACTAATGACGACACGAGTAATAATAAAATATTAGGGTATGTTCCGATATACACTGCGAGCACTGCTCAGTGCTCTGATCATCATCTTCATCATTACAGCCCTTGACAAGTCAACTGCTAAACATAGACCTCCCCCAAGAAATGCCACAAAGCACGGTTCTGAGCCACCTGCATCCATCGACTTCCTGCATGTCTTACCAAGTCGTCACTCCATCTAGTGGGGGAACGCCCTACACTTCGCCTGTCGGTACGAGGCTGCCACTCGAGAACCTTTCTTCCCCATCGGTTGTCGATTCTTCGACCTATATCGCCGGCCCACTACCACTTTAGCTTACTAATCCGTTAGGCTATGTCGGTCACTCTGGTTCTACTGAGGATATCCTCATTTCTTAGTTTATCACGCAGAGAAACTCCGAGCATAACCCTCTAATTAACTCACTGAGTGACATTGAGCTTCCTCATCCGGCCAGCAGTGAAGGACCACGTCTCAGTTACATAGGTCATCAATGGCAACACGCTCTGGTTGTACAGTCTCGTTTTCAAGTTTTGAGGTATACCTGACGAGAAGATGTGCCGTAATTTCCCGAACGCTGCCCAACCGAGTTGAATGCGTCGATTGACCTCTCGGTCGAAGTTGGACTTACCTAGTCGGACTATTTGTCCTAAGTAAACATACTCGTCAACAACTTCAAAAGCTTAGTGCTCCCAACAACTACCGGCATAGGCGTGACATGGATATTAAATATTATCTTTGTTTTATCAATATTCATCTTAAGACCAATCCGTTGGGAGACACGATTGAGGTCATTGAGCATTGTGTTTAGGTCCTCCAGCGATTCTGCCATAAGGACTATATCGTCGACAAATCGAAGGAAGTGATATACTCGCCATTGATGTTGAAACCGTATCCTTTCCAGTCCAGAAGCTTGAAAACGTCTTCCAATGCAGCGGTGAAGTTTCGGAGATATAACATCACCCTGTCTTACACCCCTCTGCAGTTGGATAGGTTTCGTACTCTGATTCTGTACTCGGATAGCCATCGTAGCCCTACTGTACAAACACTGCAGCACTTTGATATACCGACAGTCAACTTGGCACCGCTGGAGGGACTGTAGCACCGCGCAAATTTCGACGGAGTCAAACGCTTTCTCATATTCCACATACGCAAGGCAAAGTGGCAGATTGTACTCTTCTGTCTTCTGTACAATTTGACGAAGGGTGTGTATGTGGTCCATGGTACTAAAACCTTTTCGGATACCGGCTTGTTCGGGAGGCTGGAAGTCGTCGAGTCTGTGTGCGAGACGATTCGTAATGACTCACGAAAACAGCACGTAGACGCAGCTCAGAAAGGAAATCGGTCTGTAGTTCTTCAAGAGAGCGTTATTGCCTTTCTTGAAGAACAAGACCACCGCACTTCTGCTCCACGCCTCCGGTGTAGTGCCACCATGGAAGCCGGAATTAAAGAGCTTCTGAAGGACTTCAAGTACCGGTTTTCCACCCGCTTTCAGAAGCTCCGCTGTAATTCCACCCTCACCTGGGGCCTTGCCGTTTTTAAGGTGCTGGAGAGCCATTCTAATCTCGCTCAGACTGACGTCCGGGATATCATCGGAATAGTGTCGGATAAGACTCGCTCTTGGATCGTTACTTACACGTGTACAGCTGCCCATAGAAGCTCTCAATCTCACTCAAAATCTCAGGTGTCCCGGAAACGATGCTGCCACACTCGGTCTTCAGCTTTGACATTTGGCTCTTTCTGGCAGACAGATCTCTGGCAAAGACTTTGGAGCCTTGGTTCCACTCGATGGCTTCTTTAAGTCCCGTCGCATGCATTTGGAGATCTGCCTGTTCAGTTGCCTGTATGCTATCAAATCTGTTGGAGACTGCAGCTTCATTTCCTGTCTAACAGCCATGAGATTAAGAGTGTGATCGGAGAGTTTTTGTGTTCTGCTGCGGCGGGTCTTGCAAAACTTAGCTGCGACCGCATGGACAGTTTCCACGAGCTTATCATTCATATCGTCCACTTCATTGCAGTCTTCGAGGCACTGAAAACGGTTTTGTAATTCGAGCTGAAAGGTTTCGGGACTTTGGATTAGAGCACGAGGGGGACGGAGCGTTGACTTCATTACACGAGACCTCTCCAACTTAACGTTTAGGTTCAGTGTGCCTCTCACCATTCGGTAATCGCTACCAGTTTTCACCCTCGCGATCACTGAGACATCACTGAACAGTTGTCGTCTGGTCGTCATAATGAAGTCAATCTCATTTTTTGTCGAACCGTCGGGGCTCGACCAGGTCCACTTCCTGTGGGGCCGCTTCTGGAAGAAAGAGTACATCATAAAGAGTCCCTCTTTCTTTATTAAGTCAGCCAGCTGCTGGCCCCTTGGGTTCCGTTGACCTATTTCGAATTTCCCTACTTTCAGCTCACCGTTCTCTCTCTCGTTCTCTCTCAGTGTCCTCACTGGTGAAAAATACATTCCTTTATGGATTGCCAGTTTACTGCCGTAGTATCCTAGGAAAATATATGATGTCATAAATCGCCGCCATTTTTGTACTCTGGGCACTGGCGCTTTCGATGTAAGGTGCTCTCAGTACCTACTTTAATCACGTGATCAAAAACATAACAGAGCCTAGAGATTTAACAGCTTCCACGAATGAGTGTTATTATTATTAATTAGTTTTGTTATTCAAATAAACTCGGACATTAAGTTTTATAAGCAAAAACATTCAAAAAATAATTTTTCTTGCTGAATAGAAAACTTGTAGATGATAAATATTTTCATTTGAAAACAGTGTCGCAAAATGGGAATGACAGTATACTGAACTGCGTTCCATTTTAAACAGTAACCAGTATACCAAACTTAAAAGTAACGGCTTCACAGTATACTGAATTAGCGTCACACCTTACAGTGGTCACAGCGTATATCATAATAAAAATCGGTTCTTCCTTCTTAGCTTTGTGTGGAGGACATTGGAGGACAGGATCCAACTCATATGTTGGTGTACACTCTTGACCTACTGTATGCAACGTTCATTTGGCGTTAGACACCTCTTGTCACTTCTTAGAGGATGCACGAATATAAAGAAGGATGGCCATTTTTCACCTGAGTATGTATAGAAATGAAATAAATCTCAAAATTCAGCTAATTGAATTCTTAATTAAATACGCGTATCACAATGTCAAAAGAAACGCAGGAAAAAAATATTTTTAATATTTATTTATGCTTATTCTACGTAAAGGGTAAACTTATTACCACCATATTTTGAACACATCTCAACTACCCTTTTTCTAAGACGTTCCATTTCACATACTTCGCATTTCGCTACTTCACTTAATTGAACTCTGTTTCTGATCTTTAAACATTTATTTTATTTAATCAGTAAGTATTTATCTATATTTTTATATATATTCCTTTATATATATATATATATATTTCTTTATTACTTTTTGTATAGTACAGATTAATTAAAAATAATGTATTAATTAAATAAATAAATAATGCAGTACGTCATTGAGTGCACACGAGTGAAACGGATTTTTTTGACATTTAACAGTTCTACGATTGGCATCGGCGCAGTCCTTCGTTGTTGCCAAAGAGAATATAATCACTTGTTGTTTGCGTCTCGTTGTGTATTGTCCCATTTTGTGTGTCTTTCATTGATCATATAGAATAGAAATATGTAGGGATACACAAGATTTTTCTCAGTATAATCTCAGAGAAAGTGGTGAAAGAACATTAATAAGACATAGAAAAATTTAATATTTGGTAATGGCAAATCCTAACCTAAAGAGTAACATTAATATTTTTGGGCTTTTTTTTTTTAAATCGTAAAAATGACTACATGACATTATTTTCTAAACTTATAGGAAGTTTTTCTACTATACCTTATAACTACACATAAACTTTTACTATCAGGTTTTTAAATGTATGAAAAGTGGGCATGGTTCTTTATACAATTTTTTTCTGATTCTGAGAGTAAGTTGGAGAATTTACTTAGTTTGATGTTTGTGTACGAATATATCTACGCCACAAAAAAAAAAGAATAATTATTCTTTTAAAAATTCATTAACTTTTTAGTTTAGAAGCAAAGTTAGAGAAAACTTTCGATGTTTTGCGAAAATAACACATTATATTTTACATATTCATGGATTCGTTCACCTTTTAAATCATAACGTTTAACAGTATTACTAACACACTTTCTTAAGTCGGAGTTTTGGAAAAGTATATGGTTTAAATATGTAGATTACATACGCAACAAAACGCTTTTTGTCTATTATAAAGGTCTATTTGTTTATGAAATGCTACGTAAGTTCTATGAGCACACTAGTAGCATGCATGGGATTGGGAACGAACGTTCCCTTCACTTTCCCATGCCGATCTTGGTATCGCAGGTTGACGTTGCGTCGGAAGCGTGGGGTTGTATTGCCTACGATAAATGTGTTTCTAATGCACAGTCCGTCTCTCCTATTAGTTCCCATGTATCATGAGATATACACTATAGCATGTCGAATGGATGCAGGTGGCTCGAAATGGCCTATGTTCAGCCGTGGATTTGTGATGGGGTCCAACCATGATTACAAAAACCTTCAACAAATGAATAGAAGTAATAAAGTTTTTGGTATGGTGAAAGAAAATCAAACAACCAGTATCTTGTTATGGCAACAGCCATGATATGTAGAGAAAATAAAACGAAAACGCAATTAAAGTTCTTGAAATCGAAAAAAGTAATTTAACTTATTACCCTATTTTTAGCTTATTATTTTGTAGAGGCTGATAGTAATGTACTTGCCTTAAGCCGTTTGACATCCTTGTCGACGGCACTGATACGGTATATACCACGTTCAGTTAGACCGCGTTTTTCTACTTCATTGACGCAGTGCACGAGCAGAGCCGGAACCATGGGCGGTGTGCTCGGAGCGAAGTCCGCTATACTACCATCCTGTATTGATTCATTTTATAATCATTACTTATAGAAATCATAGCAAAATTTCCACATACATATGAAACGATATTAACATTACTAATACTCCCGTTGATTACTACTAGAAAGCAAAAAATACTTGTGGTAGCAGTGGTTCACAACAGTATTGTAGTAGTTAAACAATTGTAGTAGTTACCCATTATAAAACCATTGTAGTAGTTGAACAATGGATCAAGCCATGATCCATTGTTGGGTGTATAGTGTGGTGGGGTGTGGTGTAGTGTGCAGTGTGGTGGGGTGTGTAGTGTGCAGTGTGGCGGGGTGTGTAAGTTGTAGTGTGCAGTGTGGCTGGGTGTGTAGTGTGCAGTGTGGTGGGGTGTGTAGTGTGCAGTGTGGTGATGTGTGTAGTGTACAGTGTGGGGGGATGTGTAGTGTGCAGTGTGACTGGGTGTGTAGTGTGCAGTGTGACTGGGTGTGTAGTGTGCAGTGTGGTGGGGTGTGTAGTGTGCAGTGTGGTGGGGTGTGTAGTGTGCAGTGTGGTGGGGTGTGTAGTGTGATGTGTGCGGGGATGTGCAGTGTGTAGTTTGCAGTGTGACTGGGTGTGTAGTGTGCAGTGTGGTGGGGTGTGTAGTGTGCAGTGTGGTTGTATGTGTAGTGTGCAGTGTGGTGGTGTGTGTAGTGTGCAGTGTGGGGTGATGTGTAGTATGCAGTGGGTAGTGTGCAGTGTGTAGTGTGCAGTGTGGCGGGGAGTGTAGTGTGCGGTGTGGCTGGATGTGTAGTGTGCAGTGTGGTGGGGTGTGTAGTGTGTAGAGTGGTGGGGTGAGTAGTGTGCAGTGTGGCTGGGTGTGTAGTGTGCAGTGTGGCTGGGTGTGTAGTGTGCCGTGTGGTGTGGTGTATAGTGTGCAGTGTGGTGTGGTGTGTAGTGTACATTGTGGTGGGGTGTGTAGTGTGCAGAGTGTAGTGAGCAGTGTGGCGGGAAGTGTAGAGTGCAGTGTGTAGTGCGCAGTGTGGCTGGGTGTGTAGCGTGCAGTGTGGTGGGGTGTGTAGTGGGCAGTGTGTAAAGTGCAGTGTGTAGTGTGCAGTGTGGCTGGGTGTGTAGTGTGCAGTGTGGTGGGGTATGTGTAGTGTGCAGTGTGGTGGTGTGTGTATAGTGTGCAGTGTGGGGGCATGTGTAGTGTGCAGTGTGTTGTGTGCAGTGTGGCTGGGTGTGTAGTGTGCAGTGTGGTGGTGTGTGTAGTGTGCAGTGTGGTGGTGTGTGTAGTGTGCAGTGTGGGGGATGTGTAGTGTGCAGTGTATTGTGTGCAGTGTGGCTGGGTGTGTAGTGTGCAATGTGGTGGTGTGTGTAGTGTGCAGTGTTGCGGGGTGTGTAGTGTGCAGTGTGGTGGTGTGTGTAGTGTGCAGTGTGGCGGTGTGTGTAGTTAGCAGTGTGCCTGGTTGTGTAGTGTGCAGTGTGATGAGGTGTGTAGTGTGCAGTGTGGTGGTGTGTGTAGTGTGCAGTGTGGGGTGATGTGTAGTGTGCAGTGTGTTGTGTGCAGTGTGGTGGGGTGTGTAGTGTGCAGTGTGGCGGGGTGTGTAGTGTGCAGTGTGGCGGGGTGTGTAGTGTGCAGTGTGGGGGGATGTGTAGTGTGCAGTGTGCTGGGGTATGTAGTGTGCAGTGTGGGGTGATGTGTAGTGTGCAGTGTGGCTGGGTGTGTAGTGTGCAGTGTGGCTGGGTGTGTAGTGTGCAGTGTGGCGGGGAGTGTAGTGTGCAGTGTGTAGTGCGCAGTGTGGCTGGATGTGTAGTGTGCAATGTGGTGGGGTGTGTAGTGTGCAGTGTCACAGCTGGTATTTTGGTCCAGTAGAGCATTTAGCGCGGTTAATGTTCGCGGAATGGGGGAAAATGCGCGTGCGACTGTTCGGCACCTTGGCTCTGAAATCAACTTATGCCTTCTGCCGCGACAGTAGTTGTTGGGTACGTAAAATCGACACAGCTCATCATGGAGATCCAGTGAGTCAATTCTGCCTCGGAGAACTTTACACATGGTTATTTGCTCTTCTCTGACATTAAGGTGGGTACTGTGGACGCTCGCATTACGTATCTTCAACGAAGCCCTTATATGTGAAAAGGCTTGGTATGTAAGTTCACAATTGGATTTTCCTACTGCGAGTGTAGTTTCAGCTTGCGTCTGATATCTTCAATAATATTGCGAGAAAACCACACAGGATACTGTTTATTAGAAAATTTATTACGCTTTTTTAGGAATACAAATGTCAAAGATATTATATGTCATAAAATACATATACATAAATACATAAACACTCACGCCTGTCACCCAGAGGGGTAGGCAGAGATTATGGACTTCCATTTGGCACGATCCTGACACACCTCTCTCGCTTCCTCCACATCCATATACCTACGCATACACGCTCGTCGGTTAAAGGTACTCTTGATTTGGCCCATTTTTAATATATCGCCAATTTGTTCGATAAACTTTCGCCTAGGGCGACCCTTCCCGACTATGCCGTTCACCTCTGCAACATAAATTTGCTTTGTCACTCTTTCCTCATTCATTCTTTCTACATGGCCAAACCACCGAAGCATTCCTTTCTTAATCCTGGTCACAACATCATCTTGCAAACCACACTCTTCTCTTATTAAACAATTTCTCACTCTGTCATTCAGCTTCATCCCTAACATACTCCTTAATGACCGCATTTCTACAGCATTTATTCTACTCTCATGCTTCTTCTGCCACACCCAACTTTCACTACCATACATTAAAGTAGGTACTAACACAGCATTGTGAATTGCCATACGTGCCTTTTTGGACACATTCTGACTTTTCACAATAGAGTGTAGAGCCCCATTCACTCTATTTCCTGCATTCACTCGTCGTTCTATATCCTTATCATATCTACCATCCCTGCTAAACACACATCCCAGATATACAAACTCATCTACTTGCTCTACCAACTCCCCTTCTATTCTTATTTCACATATCGTTTTACTTTCTTCTCTTTCAAAAACCATAACTTTCGTCTTACTTGCGTTCACTTTCATTCCCTTTTCTTTTAATGTCCTGTTCATTAATGTAACCATCATTTGCAACTCGGCTGCCGACGACGCAAGTATGACTTGATCATCGGCGTACAAAAGGCATTTGACGGTTAACTCACCCATTCTTAACCCGCATTCTTCTACTTTCAAATTTTCCAAACAACTGTCCATAAATAGGTTGAACAACCACGGGGAAGCCACACAGCCCTGTCTGACACCTTTATGGATGTCAAACCAGTCCGAGTAGGCCCCGTTGATCCTGACACAAGCACTAGAGTCCCTATATAGAGACTTCAATGCCTGTATCAGACCAGCGCTCAACCCAAATGAGTTCAGTGTTTGCCATAACACATCCCTGTCCACTCTGTCATAAGCCTTCTCCAAGTCCATGAACGCACAAAAAACTTTTTGGTTTTTGGCCAAAAACTTCTCGGCGATCATGCGCATGGAAAAGACCTGATCCGTACATCCCATTCCCTTTCTAAATCCCGCTTGCACATCCCAAATTTTTCCGTCAGTTTCTTTCATAACTCTTTCAATTAGTACCTTAGCATACAGTTTTCCCACAATGCTAAGAAGGCTGATACCACGGTAGTTTTTACAGTCCTGCTGTGATCCTTTTCCCTTATATATTGGGACTATCACGGCTTTGCACCAGTCTCCCGGTACCCGCTTAAGTTCCCAACATAAATTAAACAAGGTGTACAGCAGGTCTGCCACCACTCCTTCTCCAGCCCTTAGCATTTCGAGAGATACTCTATCATAACCAGCTGCCTTACCTACTTTCATACTTTTCATTGCTTTCATTATTTCATCTATACTTATATCTCTATCTATTTCCTCTTCTTTCGGAATTTCTATTTCATTTAATTCAAACGTCTCATCACTCATAAACACGCTTTCAAAGTATTCCTTCCATCTCCTTAAACTCAAAACTTCGTCATTCAGAATACAGCCATTCTGGTCTCGTATAGCATTCATTCTAGGCTGTTGTGAGTGTCCCCTGGTAGTTCTTACGAGTTTCCAGAACATTTTAATGTTTTCCTGGAAGTTATCCGATATTCTTCTATCATTCTTATCCGTTCTTTCTTGCTTTTTCCTTTCAACTACTTCTTTTACTCTCTTATTTAGGTGTCTAAAAACCGCCTTTTTCCTTTCAATATCATCATTCATACTGCTAGAATTACTAGCCTTGGTTGCTAGTAAATCTAGCCATGCTTTCTTCTTTGCTTCAACTTCCATCCGTACCTCATCATCCCACCATAACGTGTTATTTTTCCTTTCATTCGTTCTCTTGCTTACACCACATACTTCGGTAGCTGCATCCACTAAACCTTTCTTGACATTATACCACACAGTCTCCAAGTCTAAATCATTCATACACAATTCAGCCATACCACTTATATTTTCTCTCAATCTACATTTGAACTTCTCTTTCACACCTTCATCTTGTAGCCTCTCTGTTTTTATACGCTGTAACGCTGTGGTAGACACAGATGTCCGATGCCTCCAACGTCTGAAAAGACCATTAATTCGGCATAAGACCAAGTAATGATCCGTCCCTACGTTAGAGCCCCGGTAAACCCTTGTATCTACCACCGCGCTCCTCATTCTTTCATCAACAATTATGAAATCTATCATACTTCTATCATCACCTCTTTCCCATGTATACGTGTGAATCTTCTTATGACGAAAGAAAGTGTTCGTCACAACAAGATTCTTTTCCACGCATACGGCGAGAAGGCTTTCACCATTCTCATTTATACTTTCATCACCAAACGTTCCCAATATCCTTTCATAACCAAGCCTCCTCACCCCAACCCTTCCATTAAAATCGCCTAATATCACAATATTTTCATTAACCTTGCATTTCATTAGCACCATCCTTACCAACTCCCAAAACTGCTCTCGGATATAAATGGGCTTAGACATGTCTGGGGCGTAGACCCCTAAAACAAACAACTTCTTTAAGCCCACTTTCATTCGTATCCATAGCAGTCTCGGGCTTACACATTCATACTCTTTTACACAATGACCCATTCTTTCTGAAAGGATGATACCGACTCCCTGGCATGCCCGCTCGGTCTCGTCTACACCAGACCAGTACGCGGTATACATGCCATGTGTAGTGGCATCCTTTCCCTTCCGTTTCGTCTCATTCACACATAACACGTCTATTCCTCTATCATACATCATATCGCATACTTCATCCATCTTATCATTCATTCCTCCACATACGTTCAATGTAGCCAGACGGGCTTCCGCAATCCACTTTTCGCCCCTCCGGGGGACAGAACGTGACGGGTGGCGAACCTCGTCGCCGGTTTTCCTCCCGGAGATTCTTCGCACCCCTGCCCCATTAAAGGGGCGCCGGGAACTCGGGGCCATTTCTTTAATATTTTGCCTCATGGTGCGAAAGTAAGTTGTGGTATTTTTTACGCCGCTACCACACGGCGAGGAGCCGAGTCAGTTCTTTCGGCTTTGTCGCTCGTTTAGCACCACCCGGGGGACACGTGTAGGGTGGGCCTAGGATTAGGTGGTCGAAGCCTACGGACGCGAGCGAGCGTCATAAAATAATTCAGTGCATAAATGTACATCATGCAAATTTGCAATATCACTCCATGAGCCTTGAGAAACAAGTCGTATAAAAGAGTATAATCACCCTTGTAAAAGTTCCAGTGTTTGCTGTAGTCGATGTTAATAGCGTCAATGTGATTTCGATGACGAGCTGCGCCGATTGCTAATGTCTAGTGGAGGATGATAAGCGTCAGGTAGAACAATACCATCAAAAGCTCGAACGCACGTTTCACCCATTTTTCACTCTCCTGGACCTACTATCTAACATTCCTCCTTTCATGTTCTTCACGCTATTCGTTTCTTTTAGTTTACAAAACGATAAAAAATAAGAGTAATAGTTTTTAATATTCACAGAAGCACAATTGTGCAGTTTAGCACAGTTTAGTTTGTAGACCGCGTACGTTTTGATAGATGATGTAGATATGTGTAGTTTTATTACTACGCGTCTGCAGGCGAAGGGAAGAGTTATTTCGAGGTTCAAAAAGGGTGGGAGTATGAGATTGATCTACCCATTCCTGGCTCATGGTTTGAGTCATGAAAGGGCCGCGGTTCAGCTGTACGGAAGGGCAATTCTTCAGATAAATTTACTGGAGTATGTATTCTTTTAAGGTTAATCCAAGCTTTGATTAGGGCATTGACAGGCCAAACATGAGCAGAGAAAACTATTTCATGGAAAGCTACTGGGACTCCCACTTTAAAAGACTTATTTATAGTTTCTCTTTAGCTTAATTTCTTCTACTGTGCATGTTACGCCAGGGCAGAGCTGGAAAAGGTATTGGCGGACTTCCTTGAGACCAGACTCCATATTCCAGAGATTAATATATTTCTTCGTTTCGACAGCCCTAAGGGCAGTGACAGTTTGATCAGCAGTACTACATATAGATATTAGTCGTCGACTTTTCCTCTTTACCTGTCCAGTGCAGGTTGGAGACGTCCTCAGGTTAATAGATATCATTGTCACGGCCGGTGTTAGAGCTAGAGCTATTGGTAGAAGGTGGCACAATTGTGGTGGGGCAAGCTTTGGGGTTATTTTGTTTAGCTAACCTTTTATGTTGGTTTTTACAGTCCTCTTTGGTGGTTCTGTTGATGTTGTTTATACTATTTTATTCCTAGGCTGGTTGGACACTGAGGAGCATAACTGAGGTTGCGGCGCTTTTTGAGCTTCTTTGATAATAGTCACATTCTCCTGATGCAATACATGTACTGACGGTTGATGTTCTTGTTTTTGAGGCATAGTATGTGGGTTGTCGAGACCATCAGTAGTCTTGTGAATGTCAAATATATCGCAGTGAGCTCGTAGAGAAGCAACCTCAGATACGAAGTTTGTAAGCTTGGAATCAAATCTGCGAAGTCTTGAGTCGTATTTACTCATAGACGCCTCGTATCCAGCCAGTCTGACCTGGCATTCCTCCAGCTGTGCACTGTAGTCGGTTATCGCTGATACGGCACAACACAGTTGATTTTTTAGTGACGTTATTTCAGACTTAAGGTCACTTATTTTACTGTTTGACGTTTGTACTTGCAGGTTGTGAGGTAGAGGTGTTGCTGAATTATTCTTATTTATTTTCTTACGGTGGGTGACAAAATGATGATCACGGATTTTCTTTGTTGATCCCATAGGTACAGTGACACACGATAAACCCAGGATTTCCTGGACTCCTCACAGGGCTTTCTCCCTCCAGTACATAAGGCTGCAGCAGGCTTCGCAGTTCATATTTACTGCTTTAACTGAAGTAAAAGTATGCGCATCGGCCGCTCAATCCGGGTGATAACGTAGTATAGTCGCGAGGTAGTGCAGCGGTGACCGAGCCCGACCGCCGCTGTGAGTCACGCACCGGCTAAGCGACCAAGCTGCGGGTTGACTAAGGTCAGTTACGCGACGGTTATCAGATATTTTTAAAAGTTAATGGCTAATATCTTCCGTATTACCGGACAGATTTTCACCGAATTAACTTGAATGTAAGCCTTATATAAAGAGCTAAATACATATTATATCGCTACTGCAATATTAACAACTTAAATCCACTTTTAAATAAATAAAACGCGGAGCAAACAAATACGATGTTGTCTTTGCGACGACGACCTACTATACTACTGTAGTGTTGTGTGCAGTGTGTAGTGAGTTGTCTGAAATGTGTAGTGTGCAGTGTGTTCTGTGCAGTGTGTAGTGAGTAGTGTGCAGTGTGTAGTGTGCAGCGTAGTGAGTAGTGTGCAATGTGTGTAGTGTGCAATGTGTAGTGTGTTGTGTGCAGAGCATAATAAGTAGTGTGCAGTGTGTAGTGCGTAGTGTGCAATGTGTAGTGTGTTGTGTGCAGTATGTAGTGAGCAGTGTGTAGTGTGCAGTTTGTAGTGAGTAGTGTGCAGTGTGTAGTGAGTAGCGTGCAGTGTGTAGTGTGCAGTGTACTGAGTAGTGTGCAATGTGTAGTGTGTTGTGTGCAGTGCGTAATGTGTGCAGTGCGTAATAAGTAGTGTGCAGTATGTAGTGAGTAGTGTGCAATGTGTAGTGTGTTGTGTGCAGTGTGTAATGTGCAGTGTGTAGTGAGTTGTGTGCAGTGTGTAATGTGTACTGTGCAGTGTGTAGTGAGTAGAGTGCAATGTGTAGTTTGTTGTGTGCAGTATGCAGTGAGCAGTGTGTAGTGTGCAATGTGTAGTTAGTAGTGTGCAGTGTGTAGTGAGTAGTGTGCGTGTGTAGTAAGTAGTGTGCAATGTGTAGTGTGTTGTGTGCAGTGTGTAATGTGTAGTGTGCAGTGTGTAGTGTGTAGTGTGCGTTGTGTAGTGTGTTGTGTGCAGTATGTAGTGAGCTGTATGTAGTGAGCAATGTGTAGTGTGCAGTGCGTAGTGAGTAGTGTGCAGTGCGTAGTGAGTAGTGTGCAGTGTGTAATGTGTAGTGTGCATTGTGTAGTGAGTAGTGTGCAGTGTGTAGTGAGTAGTGTGCAGTGTGTAGTGAGTAGTGTGCAATGTGTAGTGTGTTGTGTGCAGTGTGTAGTGTGCAGTGTGTAGTGAGTAGTGTGCAATGTGTAGTGTGTTGTGTGCAGTATGTAGTGAACAGTGGGTGCGTGTGCGTGTACCTGGTGAGGCGGCGCGCGGCCGGGCGGCACGCAGGGCAGCGGCAGCAGCGCGCGGCACTCGGGGTGCGCCTGCGCGCGGCACCACTCGCACTTCACACCCACCTTCGCGAACTTTATGCTGCAACCAACAAAAACGCGTACACTAGTAGCGATGCACGACTATCCACTACGCCATTCCACCCCGTGTGTGTTGTAAGACGTGACAAAGAGAAATTAAACAGAAAATGGGCAGCAGCATCTTCCTAATAATACCTTCACTATACGAGTAGGGCTCCTAGGTGTCTGCCTGCGTGTGTCTCACCCTACTACCTATTTCTGACGCCATGCAGCAATGGTGTATTGCTCTAGTCCGATCCGAAGAGTATAGAAAGAACATATAATTACAAGCTAAGGCATTCCATCTTAGTCATCAGGGGTAACAATGCATTTGTTGCCTTCTTCGGATACGGTTGGCTGCAGGGGTCCATGGACTTCAGTACCCAACCCTGAAGTAAGCTGAAACTTCATTTCACACATTTTATATAAAAAGTCAATATTATTTTAAAGAAACTCCGGATGCCAACTCGCCTACGATAGAGTACGCCTATGTTTAGCAGTGAACTAAAATAGATTATAATGATGATAATGGACACCAACAAGCCCTATTTATTGCCCTAATTATATTCTATATATAAGGTGATCGCCACTATGCTGGTTCTATGAAAAATCATTTAAAAATTGTATAAACGAAGTTATTGTTAAGTGTAATATGTTTGGAAAAAAAAGTCCCGCTGGGTTTCTTGCTGGTTCTTCCCAGGACTGGGGTGTTTTCCGAACCAGTGCTAAATAAAAAAGGACTTTCAATAAGTATTATGTAATAATCAATATTGAATAAAAAAATATTCTATTCTATTCTATTAATAGCGCCTGTAGTTATAAAAGAGTATTTTGTACCGTGCAGAAAAAAATGAAGTAAAATACGTATACGTAATACGTATTTGTAAAGAGTAAACGAGGAATGTTATTTCAATTTATATAAAATGCATTTTAAATTTTATAATTTAATTTTAAGAATATTTTTTTAATCCGTGTCTCAAATGTCCAAAACGCTATCCGCGAGTTTTGGCGAGAACTTGACCGGTGGGGGGGTTGCTACAGGAGTCTGTACAATTGTTACAATAATGGTTTGAAGTGGATTTTCATTTGTAAAAGTGGTGCAATTTTGTGTATTAAATGTCTGCGCATGTGAGCTATTAGTAGGAACGGTGAAACAAGTGCTCCGATGGTGATGTGAATCTCAAGATAAGTCTGTCTGTCTGTCTGTTATGTATGTGTGTCTGCTTAGGCGCCTTGAGATGCTATCGCCAAACGTCTGCTGGCTTAAGTTGCCGTCAAAATCTCCCAAGGGCTGTGCAAAGTGACGCATCAACATATTGCGAAGCAGAATACTACAAAAGATTATTACCACTTGATACTGAGATAAATCAAGACATGGCTTAAAGGACAATCGTCCAAGACAAAAATGTTAATAAAAAAACGTTATCCGCCATAGTAAATTTCGTCATGACGTCACTTTGATAGTAAACAAGCTAATGTGCATTTTATAGCAGAGGGTGGATACGAGCATGCAGCTCACCTGATGGTAAGTGACTACTGCCGCCCATAAACAACTGCAACACCAGGGGAATTGCAGATGACGGCCATTTAAAAAAGAGTAGGCTCTTTTCTTGAAGGTCCCTAAGCCGTATCAGTCCGGAAAAATCTCTGGTGGTAGTCGATTCCGCAAGGAAGTTATGTGAGGAAGAAAACTTCTAAATCGCACAGTGGTGAACCGCCAGTCATCCAGATGGTATAGATAGTATCGCGAGTTTTGGCGCGATGTGCGATGGCGAAACTGAGCTGGAATTAGTCCGAACAATTCCTCAGAGCACTCCTCGTGGTAGTGGTTTTAAATAATGCAGGAGCACACACCTTACAATCTCAAGGTGCACAGGCAAACCAATGATTCCCGTTGACACAGATGAATACTTTTAATTATTCTTTGTAGTGGTAAATGGTTTTAATTCTAAGGAATATGACATAGATTCGGGAGTACCACAGGGTTCTAACCTGAGTCCTATTTTGTTTAACATTTTTGTTAATGACGTTGTTGATTGCATCTTGTATTCTACTCTGTACTCGTACGACGATGACTTGAAGTTACTACGAGTAATAAAAACGACACAGGATTCCATATTATTACAAGAGGATCTAAATAGTCTAAATCGTTGGTGTGAACGGAATGGAATGCAATTAAATGTAGGCAAATGTGTTTACGTCAAATTTACCCGAAAACAGAAAACTTTAAACCCTGCTTATTTTATTAATGGTATAAAATTACAGGAAGCTGACCATATAAGAGATCTTGGTGCGATAGTTGACAGAAAGTTAACCTTTGCTGCCCACTTAGAAAGTATTATAAAAAGAGCTTCAAACATGCTTGGATTTATTATTAGAATGGGCAAGCAGTTTCGTAGGTTGCAAACAAAAAGGCTTCTGTACAACTCTTTTGTCCTGAGTATTCTGGAATACTGCAGTGTAGTATGGCGAACATACTATGCATGTCACTCTTTAAGGTTGGAATGGACTCACTGAGATATCTTTGGCACCTAGCCTACTCAGCCAATAAATGTAAAAAACGGTTTTCCTACAAAAACAGATTGAAACACTTTAAGTACACTAATTTGGAAATCCGTCGTGTAATGCTTGATCTCGTCTTTTTGTACAAATTATTTAACAATAAAATAGATTGCCCAGGCTTACTGAGAAAATTTAGATTCAATGTACCACACAAATTACCCAGGACTAAAATATCACCAATAGTTCCACCCTTGCGCACAACAGTTTTGGGCTCAAGTTCATTTGTCCCTAGAGCAAGCAGACTTCTAAACTGTTATGGTAAAATATAGATATCCATGCTACAAGTCTGAATACGTTTCGCAAACACTTGCAAAAAACAATAGTCGAGTTATAATTAAGTAATTGTTATGTTCATTTATATACTGTGCTATTGTTATTTTCTTTTCGCTCTTTCTTTTTCTCTCTTTGTTTACCTTAATTAATTGTGCATTTGGCTGTAAAACACATGTTAATGTTAAATACTCATTGATGTATTATTGTTACAATTACTGGTAAACCTAATAAATAAATAAATAAAATAGGGTATTTTACAGCATGTACAAAAAAATCTAAAAATATGATAGATTTTGTAAAAAGTAAAGAGAAATATTGTTTTCTATTTATAAAAATGTATTATAAATTTTATATTTGAATTTTAAGAATATTTTTTTATTTGTGCTTCAAATCTACAAAACGCCATCCGCCATATTGGATAGATACCGTCATGACGTCATTAGTTAAGAGAACTAGCTAATGTTCTGTGTTATTTCGAAATTTTTCAAGTTATCATTACGATGGTGGAGTTTTATGCCGAATCATAGAAGACGGCATCATAAAAGACGGATTCGTAAAAGCAGAAAGTACTAATCTACCAAGGATAAATACAGTGATGGTGGTAAAATTTTTTGCATGCAATCCAGATTTTTGTTCTGCCGAGTTGAGGAATGTAAAAACATCAATGTAAGTACCTATTACCAACTATTTTTTATACAATAACAGGTTAGAGTGTATTTTGATAACACATAGTTATTCTTATCTATAATTACAATCTCACTTAACCTTATTCTTGTTTTCAGGTCCGGAAGGGAATCTTATAGGGATGACGCAATAGGCTATGTGCAGCTCAAGAGGGTGAAAAACATATGCATAGTTAAGTGTACAATATGCGCAGAACACAAAGTGATCTTCAAAGAAGTATTGTTTAGATTTTGTAGACAATGCCCTTAGGGCCCTTCTTGCCAGTTTTAACCACGTATTTCTCACATTTAAATCAGTTGGCACTTGAACCTATAACTATCCCGGCGTACTTATGCTCGTATTTTTGCATTCAGGCACAACACAACAATGATACAGATGATAACTCATTAGTAAACATCCAAAAGTTATCTTATTCCTTTGCAAAATCGGCAAAATTCTAGGGCAGTGACGTCACGAGTTGACCAGCATAGCGGCTAGCGTTTCCACGCGAAAATTTAAAACGATAGATTAAAAGTAATGTTTATGGCACTATTCGGTTTAAAAAAATATTATATAAAAATTATAGCGTTTCATTATCACTCTAGGATTCATTTAAGACACATTTTAAAATGGATGTAATACCCTATTAAGCCTAACGCACATTTGTCCGCACCGTACGCATTGTACGCGCCGTACGCATCTAGTTTTACTGATCGCCTCGCACATTTGCCCGTACGCATCGTCCGCGCCGTACGCAAATCATTTGTATTACCAACAACTTTTGTAGTTTTTACCAACCACTGGTGTGAAACGGCACAGTGAAATTGATCGCTCAAAATCACTATGGAAAGAAATATAATAATAATCTGCTTATTGGCAGAGGAAGAAGAAAAAAATTCGGCGAAAAAGAAGATACTAGATTCATAACATTAATTTAAAAAAGGCAATTGTATGGAGAATATGAAGGGGATATACTTTATTTAAAGATTTATTAGATGATGTTGAACGATGTTTTAGATATTTGCATTTAACATCTAAGAAACTTTAAGAATTGCTACATATACTAAAAGCATATCTTTCTATGGAAAACTCAAGATTTAGAAGGCTAATTGAACCAGAGTAAAGACTTGTTGTATGTTTGAGGTAGGTATTTTTATTGATAATTAAGTAATCAGGTAATTGGGTTCTTGAATTAAAGAGCAATGGCAGACTTTCATACATAAAATTAGTTGAGAAGAAATGGTAGCGTCTATATACCAAAAATATCTTAAAATTTTAAGCGTCAGTCCCTTAATAACTCTGTCAAAGAATTTTGTACTGAGAAGGCGTCAAAAAAAAGATATTTACATTTGAACCTTTTTAGGTTATGTCCTATGTCACTTGGAAAAAGTCATGCTTCCTGTGGTTGTTTGGTGTTAGCTTAATACATAATACATAATTGAGAGTTTTTAGATTATTGTATCTCTATTATATATTTGCATACTATAAATGTATATTTCTGGCATGGCTCCAGGGCTTTTGTACCATAGTGACATTCTCAGAAGGGCTAGAACCCAGAGCCGTAAAGCCAGTAAAAAACAGTGACATTTTATTTTAGCTAGTGTTGGCATAACATTAAATGGAATTGTTACACAGTACTATGATTGAGATAATGTATTGTAGTAGGAAATTCTTTGTAAGAGACTTATTATCAGCCATATTACTTTTATTTTTGTTATTACTGATAGTACAGTTATTACTAATAATAACTTAATATAAAATATTTTGTGTGTTGTGTTGATAGTGTTACAAAGTGTATACGAAAATAGTAGGAATATACTAAATGGCAACATTTGAATAGAGTAAAATGATTTCAGTCATTTGATATTCCCAAAAATGTTTGTTTTTTTCTGTGGCTTTAATTAAAATACATTTTTATTTGAAAAATCATAGGAAAATAATAAAACTCATTTTATATATAACTTATTTCTAGACGCTATAATTTTTGTCAACTATTTTTCTGCCATTGCTCTTTAACCATTTTTTTTTTTAGTTCAGTATTTATATATTTATCACTAAGTATTCATATTGATAATTTATGCAAAAAAAATCAAATTATGTATAATTAATTACGAATTAATTAAAAGTTATAAAAATACAAAAATTATCACGTAAGTCAAAATCACCAGTTATAGTGGAAAATCCACTAAGTTGGCAACATTAGACCACACTGAGTATCAGCACGCGCCGCGTCATATGACGTCATCAGCATTCGTCCTTCGATATCGTATACCTACCGCATTTTATAAAATTCGACGCGTACGGTGCGGGTGTAATGTGCGAGGTTTCATATGATTTCATACAACGAATTCGAAAATTCGGCGCGTACGGCGCGTATGGTGCGTACGGCGCGGACAAATGTGCGTTCAGCTTTAAGTGCCTATTTTGCACTCGTTCAGAGGTAAAGAAAAATATTTTGAGAAAACATTGAGATGAATGTTAATGGATATTAGAAATCCATCAACATGCATCTCAAATGACAGCGCGGTGGACTACTCATTGCCTTAAATTTCCTATAAGCGAGAGAAGGCCTCTTCAAACACTTGGATGTGTATAAGTTGTTACTTTTACTGCAGGGTTGGTACTTACGTTTTTCCACAGGGGCCGCAAGTCTCTCGCTTGTAGAAGTTCTTGGCGACGAAGTTGTGTTGTCGAAGACGGGTACGCGGCGAAGAAACGAGCGACGGCGTCCGTTGCGGCGGCGCTCGCGGAGTCCCACACTGCCGTATGGGTGTATCCGAGATACTGTCCGTTTCTGATTCAACAGTGTAAAATATATTCTAAAATCTTTAGATATAAAAATTACGTGTTACATTGTTAGTCCGCGATGAACTCCGAAATCACTCAACCGATTATATTCAAATTTTGTAAATGTGTATTGCTTGCTCCAATTTGAGAGATAGGATAGTGTTTATATCGTGTGTAGTGACCCTCAATATTTTTTTTATGATTAATTATCACTTTTCTGATGTTATGCAGATAGTATCGAGACAATTCTAAACTAAGCGTGCACAGCTTGTTAGCGGGAGCCAGTATGACTCATCAGTCTTCCAACACTTTTAGTTGGCAACAGTGCACCACTATTATACATTTTGAATCTATTATAGCCTACGTGTGTACTGCTTGTTAGCAGGAACAAGTGGGACTCCTCAGTCTTCCAACACTTTTAGTTGGCAACAGTGCACCACTATTATACATTTTGAATCTATTATAGCCTACGTGTGTACTGCTTGTTAGCAGGAACAAGTGGGACTCCTCAGTCTTCCAACACTTTTAGTTGGCAACAGTGCACCACTATTATACATTTTGAATCTATTATAGCCTACGTGTGTACTGCTTGTTAGCAGGAACAAGTGGGACTCCTCAGTCTTCCAACACTTTTAGTTGGCAACAGTGCACCACTATTATACATTTTGAATCTATTATAGCCTACGTGTGTACTGCTTGTTAGCAGGAACAAGTGGGACTCCTCAGTCTTCCAACACTTTTAGTTGGCAACAGTGCACCACTATTATACATTTTGAATCTATTATAGCCTACGTGTGTACTGCTTGTTAGCAGGAACAAGTGGGACTCCTCAGTCTTCCAACACTTATAGTTGGCAACAGCGCACCACTATTATACATTTTGAATCTATTATAGCCTACGTGTGTACTGCTTGTTAGCAGGAACAAGTGGGACTCCTCAGTCTTCCAACACTTATAGTTGGCAACAGTGCACCACTATTATACATTTTGAATCTATTATAGCCTACGTGTGTACTGCTTGTTAGCAGGAACAAGTGGGACTCCTCAGTCTTCCAACACTTATAGTTGGCAACAGTGCACCACTATTATACATTTTGAATCTATTATAGCCTACGTGTGTACTGCTTGTTAGCAGGAACAAGTGGGACTCCTCAGTCTTCCAACACTTATAGTTGGCAACAGTGCACCACTATTATACATTTTGAATCTATTATAGCCTACGTGTGTACTGCTTGTTAGCAGGAACAAGTGGGACTCCTCAGTCTTCCAACACTTATAGTTGGCAACAGTGCACCACTATTATACATTTTGAATCTATTATAGCCTACGTGTGTACTGCTTGTTAGCAGGAACAAGTGGGACTCCTCAGTCTTCCAACACTTTTAGTTGGCAACAGTGCACCACTATTATACATTTTGAATCTATTATAGCCTACGTGTGTACTGCTTGTTAGCAGGAACAAGTGGGACTCCTCAGTCTTCCAACACTTATAGTTGGCAACAGCGCACCACTATTATACATTTTGAATCTATTATAGCCTACATGTGTACTGCTTGTTAGCAGGAGCAAGTGGGACTCCTCAGTCTTCCAACACTTATAGTTGGCAATAGCGCACCACTATTACATATTTTGAATCAGTCAGTAATTTTATAGGGCAACAGTTTTAACATACGGCACTCACGAACTATTACTATTAGTACTCAGTGCCATATTTCACGATAAAAATTGTGTATATATTTTGTGGACTTAAATTGAATTGTTATATTTATATTCATCTGTTAAGTACCTAAAATCATTTGTGACATATTACAGCTCTAAAAATTATATTTGCGTATAATTTGCATGAGTATACAAAAATAAACCTTCTAGAATAATCCTTATAGAATAGGTTGTAGATTTTATATCCTAATTATCTTTCGGACTAATAACAAGTTAAATGATTTGCGTTTAATTTTGAATTGGCACTTATTGAATTTTCTAGCCAATGTTTAAATATCATTACTTTTCAAAATTTAGATTTTTTATAATTTTTTTCGTTATTATAAGACAAAGGGCAAGCATTCATCCAATTCGTAAAAAAATACAACTATAGTTTATTATTATCTATTTAATAAGTACATTCTACACTACACTATGTAACTTGACGGCTGATAATGATGGCCTAACGCGTCATATTTTAGTCACTTGTTTCGGTTTTTTTTTTTCTCTTTATTTGGTCTACAAAACAGAACACAATTTCAACATGCTAGCTAACAGGTATTATATAAAACAAAGATTTCAAAAATTGTATTCTAATATATATGTAGACACAGCTTGCACATAATGTACAACATGTGATTAACAATAAAGTTTGGTACTTAAAGTTATGTTATAATCATGCTAAATTAAAAACCAAATTAAATTAAATTAAGACTAAATTAAATTAAGGCTAAATTAAATTACATACTTGGAATAAAGATACTGTAATAATTTGTTTTTTGTGGAGGCCACTGAACCCATGAAAACATCCACTTCAGATCGAACAATGTTACTGGATGAACACATGCGGTATAATGGCGAATGTTGTCCGAGAACGGTTCTACAAAGTGGAAGACTAAATGTTTTACGATTATGAAGGCGACTATTAGCACGAGGTATTAAGAATTGTATGCGCTCTAAAATTATTGGTGAGTCAATATAACCATTAATCAATTTATACAAAAACATTATATCAAACATTTTCCTACGCATTTGCAACGGAACCATTTTGAAATGTTTTAGCCGATCTTTGTAGGAATGAAGTATATCGGTTCGACAAGTAAATCCCTAATTATTATTTGATAAGTAAAAATTAGGAATTTACTTGTTTTGTAAGGAAATATAAGTTATATACTCAAAATATATTTAGTCAAATAACCGAAAGGTGTGAATCACATGTCTTATAACGTAAATATAACAACAATGTCTTCATTTTTTTTTACACAATTATTACAATATAGAAGATTTACTTTTGCACGTATACGCTCGAATTTGGGCAGTTATCTCCAATGTTATGATAAAGAATCAATTAAATTCTACATTAAGGAATTATGTTCTTTGCTTAAACAGGTCAAGGCTATCCCTAGAACCTCCCCAGGTTTGTCTTTCTAATCCTTCGCCTGATAACCTTGGACCCTTTACTCATGGATACCTTTTAATCGATAGATTATTGATATAATTTCTGACGCTGAGGCGTAAGGACTACAACAGCTAGCAACTCAGCCAATTTAAACGCCCCGAACAAGTGGCAACAACAACAATGGACCAGAGTATTTACTGCGGACTGAAATAACGCAATAACTCCACAGATTTGAACCTTTACGATTTTATTGTTATAGGAAACGCAACGCCAGTCCTCAATGGTCTAACATAACCGTAGTAAACAAGATATTTCCTGATCTACGGATGATGTTCTCAGCGCACGGCAGACGTGTACATGTTAAAGGGACATAAATTTAATTGGGTACTTAACAAGCCTCACAGAATACGCTTGAAAGCTTTAGCTTTCAAGGGCGCGGATCGATGTTAACGCCGTGCACATAACTGAATTTTATTATTATAGTTTGATATTATAATTATGTTCAAGTGATACGGCCAAAGAATTATTAGTTAGATTTATAATTGTTAAATATACTTTCACCATATTAAAATGTCATACTAAAGATCAATTTAAACTGCATAAACATTTTTTTATAGGATAGGGGCAAACGAGCATACGGCTCACCTGATGGTAAGTGGCATTGTGAGTTAGTCTACCAATACCAACTCATTACGTTTTCATATGTCGTCATTGTAACAGCCAACAGACATAAAATTTGTACCGTTACCTTTCGACCCTCAAACTGTAATCACATCCTTAAATATAAGATTAACTATTGTAAATTGTAGCACATTCATTAAACCAAACTTTTGTGATATATGTATCATTCCTTTGTAGAGTATCGTACAATGATCTCAAGACCGATTTTCGACCACGGTAATAACTCCCGAACAATAAGAAGCTTAGAACTGCATGGAAGATAATAACATTGACAAATGAAAAATAAATACATTGACAGGGACTTGTCTTGTGTTTAAGTTTTATCTTTCGTAGTGAAATTATGACTGCGCCTTAGATAATAATTTTATCCAGTGCTTAGATCATAGTGTTATTGTATTAATCCTGTTTGCTAGACGACGTTTGGCTAGAGGGTGTCGTAAGATGCGGACTAGGGTATGCCAAAAAGATCTTACAAGGTTCCGATGGCGTTACGCCAGGTGTAAAACACAAAAAACAGCGAATGAAGTAGTGTCAAAGTTGCGAAGTGCCTGGCACCCTGACTGGCAATCCGAATGCCAAGACAAAGTGTGGCAATTGGGGCAAATTCTTTCTACAATGAGAGAAGCTCATATCCAGTAGTGGATCTCACGTGCTGTTAAAAAATATGTTTTTTACTTATTTACTAGCTGATACCTGAGACTTCGTCCGCGTTGCTTAATATATTAACAAAGTTTTCGTATGTGCGAAGGAAGAAACATCAAAAAGATAGCAAGCAAAAATATACTTTACTTACAAAATTTCTTTGTAAACAATGTTATTCGTGCACCAAGTACTCTGTTTGTATCTATAATATATAAATTATTTGAGTTAGTAACGCGAGAGCAAGCGACATACAGTTGACCGTGTGAAAAACCCTATATAAAAAAAAACGTTGCTTCTTAAAACTTTATATTAAATGAAGATATCGCAATTATTATTTTTATCAGATAAGGGCCAAGTGTCAAAGAGATAAAACTTAGAAATTTAAATTTAATTTTAAATCTATCTAGTAGTTTTTCCGTGATGCGCGCACAACTGCAAACCTCATTTTATTTATATAGATGAAGATAACAACCATGAAACAGCTATTATTTGAACATTGAAATAATAGTAGAAGCACAATCAGCAGCCTCTTAAAATCTGTCCATCAAAGAGAAGAGTTCTGTCCATTTAGTGTAGTTTTAATCAGAAAGTTATCATAGATATTTTTCTGTAAAACTCAAATACCACGGTTAAATTTTAATTATGATATTATAATATGTTAAGAATGTAAGTTTTGCTGTGGATATATGAGAAAGTTACCGGATTTGGGTGGTGCAGAGGGCGTACAGTGTACTTCTATCGGGTGCGGGTGCGAGTTGGAACGGCGGCCCGAAGACTTGCGGGGAGGAGGAGCCTCGTCGCTACTTTCCGATATCGGTTGCTGGCGAATCAAAACAATATCATAAAATATTACAAATATATTAATATTTAATATAACAAAATAATATAGACAAACTGAAAGCATTTATTTCATTAGTAGGTATTTGGTTATCACATGTTTCTTTTTTAAATTGAATGAGAATGACTAGCGTGCACACAGTCCAACTGATGATAAGTGAATGCTGTGGCCCATAGACACCTTCATCTATCTTTGATCAAAATACAGATACGTTGTCTCCCCTGAGGACTAGAATGGAATGTCTTGTTTCAAGTAAAAAGCGTCCCTGGGTCTCTATACCGACTATAGAAAACACAGCAGCATTAAGCTGCTATTTTACTCTGGTATTCTGTGAGAGAGTTGCCGTTCCCTGGTCGAGGCGGCCCATTCGTGATATAACCATAATATAGTTATGGAAATATCACGTAGCAGTGGGGCTCTGCCACATACAAGTTCGATAAATCGCTGCGATCTTTTCCTTGCCTTAGAACCCACTAAGACATGAGCAGCGTGCCCGGCAGTTCTATGTGCCCAATGCTGGGCACAGGTTACTTTTAACTTTAGAAAAAATCTCTGCTTGTTACAACTGTGTGACAATCACTAGAATTTTATGCAATTCTTATCATTACTTATATCAAATGCTGACTTATGATTATGCATATTTAATTTTTCTAATCAATATTAAGCGTATGTTTGACTAAGGTATCATCTATATTAAGTGGAACACAGGCAGACTGACAACTCAGGACATGAGTTCAAAACTATGCAACTTAGCATAAAAATACGAAGGCTAACCTAATGAATCCCATCACATGTCTTTCCACTGATTCTCAGGTGGCCTTTAGTATAAGTATTATCCAAAATTAAATTAAAGTTAATTAGTACTAATTAAAGTTTTCTTGCTATATGGAAAAAATACAAATTATGATACCATGTTTATGACATTTGCAATATTTTATTTTTTAAAGAGTAACCAAATTTTATATTTAAGTTCCAATATAATGATATACCGTTAAGTGTTGAATATACGGGTAAATAAGGCTACAAGCCTTATTAGAAATTATCCCGAATTGAATGTGATTTATGGGCAACAACTGCGCGTACGCACGCTCCTCTGTGTGTGATTTAATTCACAACGTACTTGCCGACCGAGTGACCCTTACTAATGTGTGCGTGCGTAGTAAAATAAGAGGCGGTAGGTATATATGAATGACAATCAGCTAAATTAAAGCATTTACCACGCATTCTGAATTTAAAAAATAAAAAGAACAATGTTTAAGATATTTTTAAATTAATTTTTCTTCAAAATTCGCCTATATTACTTATTCTGAACTTTCTTTGCAAATTTGGCCGTATATTGCAAAATAACCCTGTATAATATAACCCACTGTTGGCACAGGCCTCTCATTTCCCAGAAGGTTATATAGGGCTAGGAAATGTCCGCGATGTCGGCCCAATACATGTTGGCGGACTTTTGATGTTTTCGAAATATATTTTTTTTAATTTCTCAGGTTTTGTCACGATATTTTACTTTACCGCCAAACACGTGATAAATGAGTTCTTAAAAATTGCAATCAACAATTTTACTGGTGTTGAACGAACCCGGGTTGCTCACATGCTGTGAAATTTACAGCGTACGCTTAGCTTATGAACTACAATAGCTGTTCACTTATGATAAAGCATATTTAACACCTTCATTTTCCGATTTTGTGACCTTGGCCTAACTTATTCCTAATAAACTTAACCTTTATTAGGCGTATGTTTGACAAAGTCCCATCTATGTTAAATGGAACAGCACAGCAGACAACTTTGCACACAGAAACTCTGCAGCCGAGTTCAAGACTTACCTAATGTGTATCATCACATGTCTTTCCACTGATTATATTATAGTTGGTTATGTTTGCTATATGATAGATATAAAAAATAGGATACTATATTTATGACATATGTGATAAAGCTTTTAATAATTTGTCGCTTACGAAATTATGAGGCGGTTTGAGATCCTGACAGGTCGGCGCGCGCTCCAATTTCAATGTAGTGGTAGCAGTGGCCAACACTTTACCACCGTGTAATTCCACTGTCTAGAAACAAACAAGAAATAATTAATAGAATCAGGCATTACTTTGAGGAAATCCATTATATTAAAAATATTAAAATTATTTAGCTAAGATCCGCGTGAAAAACGCGGAATTATTACTAGAAATATATAATATAGATGGTTATGAGATCCTCCAGCACGAATTTGACCATGACTACTTTAGGTATTAACAAATATGCTGAAGATTTTATAATTACAATTATACACAAACACTAAAGTACTAACTCATCCTACATTACCAAAAAGGCTTGAAGTAACACTTTTATGATAACATCAGAGGTCAGCCTGTATCCTAGCTTTTAGAGATATTATTATATGTGGCAGAGCCATGCTGCAGCTATGTTAGTAGTATAATTGTAGCACGATTGGGTCGACCGGGGAAGGACCGCGCTCTCACAGAATACCAGCGTAAAATAGCAGCATAGCGCTGCTATGTTTCGTATGGTGAGTGTAGAGAATCAGAGACCCTTTTTACTGGAAAAGATGCATTCCATCTTAGTCCTCACGGGTGACAAAGAATCTGCATTTGATTCTTTATTGATGATAGATGTAGATGTTTATGGGTCACCACAACCACTTACCATCAGGTGGACTGTGTACTTGTTTGTCACCATATCCTATAAAAAAAAATTAAAAGACAAACTAAACATGAGTTAATGTTTTAGAATAATTGTTGGCTTTACAGATTTCTATATATTTTAACAGTGGTAGAGCCATGCGGCAGCTTTTGCTGTCGCACGGATCGGCCGGCTCGAACCGGGGTGGTACCACGACCTCACAGAAAACCAGCGTGAAGTAGAGGTTTGCCTCTGCGTTTCGCTTGGTGAGTGCAGGTGGCCGGATGCCCTTTTTACTGGAAATGAGGCATTCCATCTTAGTCCTCACGGGTGACAACGCATCTACATTTTGATTTGTAATAGAGGATAGATGTAGATGTCTATGGGCCGCAGCAACCACTTACCATCAGGTGGACTGTGTACTCGTTTGTCACACTAATCCTATAAAAAAATATATTTTACATGAGAGTATAATAATATAACCACCATTATACTCTTACGTAAAATATATAGACTAGCGATATGGAGCCACTTCAGAGGTTCGAGTTTGAGGTGTTTGGTACTGAAATTGCCAAATGCTATCTGTAAATTCGTCCTAACATAGGGTAGGACTATTTCGACTAAGATAAGAATGGGTGGACATAGTGAGTTTCTATATAACTTTATTTTTCTGTATTAAAATATTTTCAACCGACTTCAAAAAAAGGAGGAGGTGCTCAATTCAAGTGTAAATTTTTTTATGAACTTTTTTCTAGGTAAATCGATTTTGATGATTATTTTTTTATTTGAAAGCTGGTGCTTTTCATGTGGTCCCATATAAATTTATGAAATCAAGATCTGACCAGTATTTTTTAAGTTAACCTTAATGCATTATTATATTGATGATGTTCTCATTTTATTTATATAGACGTCGATTGTACAAATTTTTTAATTTACCACCTGTATAAGGTAAAATTAACTGTTGGAAGAACATCAGTCTCCGTGTAAGTTTCTTCCTACTTCTCACAAAGTCTCCTGCAGTAGAGATTTGTTAGTGCAATTCCATAGCTTATATATATTATAACTCCATTGTTTTGTAACTGCCGATTTCAAATAAAATGATTTTGTCTTGAGACTTCACCACCAGCCTGCTTACGAGTAGATAAAGAAATTAAAACTTGAGCAATTCTGAAGAGTAAAATTACCTTAGTAGCTGAGGATGTAGAGGAGCGTCTCTTCTTTGTGGCTGGTGGTTGATCACGAGCCGCCCAGCCTCCTCGCTGGACCCACGAGCGACGAGTAGACGCCAACGATAAGTCCAGATCATCCTCAGATCGTGAGTACGACATTTCTGACAGAAGAGTACCTGTTGCAAATTAACAAATTAGTACAATGCATTCCATCTGTTCTTTAAAGCATCCTAAGCATGTTATTGACATAAAACTTTCATTAATCACCCAAACAAGAGTTTAAGCTACTTCATGATAGTAGTTGAATGATAGATTCAAACCCACATCTTTTTAGTATCATAGGCCTTAGCCATTGGTATACTCTCCTTTGCATTCCATGCATTTGTTACTTCTTACTGAACTGAGAAATAATATACAGGGTTATTTTACATTATACGCACAAATTTACAGAGAATTTTAAGAATAAATAATATAGGCGAATGGTGAAGAAAATTTTATTAAAAAAATCTCAAATATTATTTTACTATGCACGCCCACATTCATAAGGGTCGCTCGATCGGCAAAACGTTATGAGTTGAATCACACACATAGGAACGCGCGTACGCGTAGTTCTGACCATAAATCACATTCAATTTGGGATAATTTTAAATAAAAGTATAAGTCTTATTTACTCGTATTTTTTAAAACTGTAATAATGGTATATCGTTATTTATACATTTAAACTTAAATATTATTTATTTAAGATTTTATGAATAAATTACTAGACGGTTGAACTTCTCATCTTCCTAGGAGTCCCTCTTTGTCCGAGCTTTGCCAATCCATCTGTTAAGAGTGGCAACTATAGCAAAATTCCCCACTGAGACAATCTATGGGGGAGACTTATGTTCACTAGTGGACTTTCATAGGCTGTAATGGTAAGCAGCAGTGATTGCACTTGTACAATGTTGGGGTGGGATGTATGTGCATGTTATTGGCTAATTATGTATCTGTTACTAACGCCTGATAACACCGTCATATGACTCACAGGTGCTGAAGGTGCCTATCAGGTGCAATAAATAAAGTCTCAAAGGCACTGATATTTGTATTACTAAATCACAATTTTACACGTTAATAATATTTTCTAGTTGGCAACGGCCTAGCGTGGTCAGTGAGGGGGAAAGACTGGCGTTCACCGCTGAACGCCTCCGGACACAAGTACAAAATGTCAAATCGGCAAAATGTATGCAACTACTGTGTCCCTACACACTGATGCGTTCATTCTGAAGGATATGGAGAATCAGTATAATTACAGGTTATGAGGCATCCCATATTAGTTCTCATATGTGACATTGCATATTATGTAGTATTGTTTGAAGTTGGATGCACATTTGATGCTGTTCTGCTTTGCCGGAATATTATATTTGGTATAAATACAAGATGAATAAACCATCTTCTATTTGAGACCACAAACTTTCATTTCCAACAAAAAAGTCATCTGTTACAATACTCATAAGATGAGAGGAGGATTCCCTTAGGCTATCACCTCAGAGCACTGTAAAATTTGATTCAAAGTAATGCTAAGTCATTTATTATTGTGATTGTCAATCTATTCACTAAGCTTGGCAATTCTGATAAATCTGTGATTACGAGAGGAATATGTCCATCCAGAGATGAGTATGATCATTTCACCCATTTATTTATCTATTTTCATTTTATTAATAAGGCACACAAACAAATTGCAGACTAAACATAACAATGTTACAGTTACAAATAGTATTTTAACAAGTCTATGATCCAATCCAGTATTAAAACTAGTATAAAAACAAGTGTTGTAAACATTTTTTTATAATGTAACAGTGTCAAGAAATCACAACTTTCAATGATATTTGTGAAATTTATATATCTAATGTAGGATATTACAGTTAAAATTAAAAAAAATTTTAGCTGTTTGCAATAAAATGTTTAAATCAGAATTAAGCACACAAAAAGGAATAGAAAACAAAATACATCAAATAAATACATGCTTACCTAAAAAGATGAAGATCTATACAGTTGTGCAAATCACACTTCATGCACAATAAGCCACACTAAATTAGTAATGTTATTATTACCACCTAATATCTCACCAGTGGAGTTGAGCTCTGGAACACCTGTTAGTTTTGCATTGTGATCTTGTTGGGCAGTGCCATTAAGGAACGCCAGCTTTTGTAAAGTTTCATCATTCAATTTGGCACGATTATCATTGAAGAGAAGGTCTCGCGCCATATCCAACAGTTTGCTCTGAAATATCAAAAGTAAACTCAATTGAGTGAAAAGTACTCAATTTAAACTGTTTTATAATTTTTTTTTATATTTATTTTATGGTCTTGTTTTTATTTCGCACTTTTGTTCATATTGCATTTGGCAAAATATTGATTGAAAAAATGAAGGGTAGGAGTTGAATCTTTCAGATGGGTAACACATTATATAATCCATGAGGCAAAATCAAAGCAGATTTGCCTATAAGTACATTATTATACAGGTTGAGTGTAAAATTGCATGGGGTGTGATGCCAGCTAGACTCTGCCTTTTTACAAAGACCTTTAATAAACAAATACATATGAAATTAAGAACATGATATAGGCAAAATTTATTTGACAAATCACTCCATCTTCTTAATATATTTGATTATAGTAAATAAGTAAGTACCATGTCTATCCTTTATAATAAAAAAAATAACACTCTTTACTTTAATAAACATCATCATCAAAACTTTGGTACATTACATCGCCCAACTACATAACATGAGAAGTTCAATACTGTATTCTGGTGTGAAACCAGAGTTGGAGATTAAATGAAAAAAAAAAGTATTCTGATAACAGTTACATTCAATTGTTCACACAATTAGATGTAAGATGGCAGACACAAAACATAAGTAAAGCAAGGTTTTTGTCAACAAATAATTCTATAGTAATCTATATTTTCATGACAAATTAAAAAAAAGGATATACAATATCTACAGATACATAGAAAATACTGGTCTTTGAGGGAAATAATGAATACCAAAAATTTTAGCAACAAAATAAAAAAATCTTAATCTGTGATATCAGCATCTTTCCTATCATAACATAATATGGTTACAAGACTAGGGTGATAGGAACTTCATAGGGACAACCTTTGAAAATGTCAAAATGCTTTGGAGAAAAGTACCTATGCAGGACTGAACATGGGGCTCAACCAAAGATTTAGAGCCTTTTAAAATGGAGGTGGTCTGAAACATGCTCTGCTGCAACAATGAAAAGTGGAGTAAGGGGTAAGACTGATATCCGAGAGATGGTAGGTAGAAGCAAAAACACCAAATAAGAAGATGGTAAGACAAATTAAGATTGACTCTGGGACTGTTATTAACGGGAGTGGCAGCTGCAGTTCTTTATCATCATAATCAATATTACAGCCCTTCACAAGTCCCATTGCTGAACACAGGCCTCCCCCAAGGAATGCCACAAAGCACACTCTTGAGTCCCCTGAATGAGAATAGAATAGAATAATTTTTTATTCAATATAGATCACATGTGTAATTCTTATTGAAAGTCATTTTTTACTTTACAACTGGTTCAAAAAAAAACCTCTGTCCTGGAAAGAACCAGCAAGAAATTCAGCAGGACTTTTTTTAAAAGCAAATTTTACATTAATGGTTGTACAAACTATATAAGTACAAAATTTATTTTAGAAACAGCTTGGAAGCGATAATCACATTCCCAGGGATTATTATCAACCATTCATTTATACTATAATAACCCTTTTTATACAGTTTCAACTTAACAAAACATTTAAACTTGGTAATAGAGGGAGTCTGTATACTTTCCGGGACCTTGTTGTAATAGCGTATAAATTGGCCCAAGAATGAATTACTGACTCTGTGGAGTCAAGAAACTGGTATCACTAGCTTGTGTTTGTTCCTAGTGTTTACAGAATGTACATCACTTTTTTTACTAAAACTACCTTTGTTTTTGTGAAAATACATTAAATTTTCGTAAATATACTGAGAGGCCAAAGTTAATATATTTATTTATTTAAATTTATCTCTAAGAGACTCTCGGTTTTAGGTTGTAAATAGCTCTAATGGCCCTCTTCTGTAAAACAAAAATAGTTTTTGAATCAGCCACATTTCCCCATAGCAAAATCCCATAAGACATTATGCTATGGAAATAACTGAAATAAACTAATCTAGCTGTCTCGACACTAGTGAGACCTCTAATCTTTTTTACAGCATACTCTGCAGAACTTAGTCTGCTTGCTAGTTTGGACATATGGGGGCCCCACTGAAGCTTTGCATCGAGTGATGCCAAGAAAAACAGTGGATTCAACAGGGCTCAGTTCTTCCCCATTTAAAAACACATTGGTACTCAGATTTTTAACATTTGTTGTAGTAAATTTAATACATTTAGTTTTATTTCCGTTTAAATCCTGCATCCATAGACCTCCTACATGTCTTACCAGATCCATCACTATATCCAGTGTGAGGTCGCCCTACACTTCACCTACCTGTATGTGGCTGCCACTTAAGAACCTTTTTTGCCATTGGTTGTTGGTTTTGGCATTTCTTAGAATTGAAATATTGCTTTCATCGTTTGCTACACTTAAGTGTGAAGAATATTATTTAATTTATTTTAATTAATAAACAACGCAATGCAACGGAAAATAAAAACAATAAAATAAGAAAGAAAATTAATTATTAAAATAATATAATAACTAACTAAGTAACCGGATGAATGACCTTTGCTTAGCATTAGAAAAATATATAACTCTCTCGGGAATAAAACCTATATAGACGAACTTGGAAAGTAAACATCATCTAAATACAATTTTTCATCATTAAAAAATGTTAGAGTTATTTTTGAGTACATATTTATATATACATACATAATAATTACTCCCATAGGTATAATGAATGGTAAACAATGTTCAAAATAACACAAATAAATTTATTTGATGATTTAAATATTTCTATATGAAAATAGAAAGATGTTACCTGCTCATTATACTTCTTTAAATAAATATTTTTCTCCCTCTTCTCTCCATCCAACATTTTTCTTACATGTGCAAATTTGGCTTCTGATTTAGCAAGAGTTCGATGAGCCTCATCTAATTCCTTCTGCAGCCTGACTGCTTCTGCTTCTGCTGCAGCCCACTGGCACCGTACCCATTCTATCTGCTTTAGGAAGGCTAGAAAACCTAAAAAATTGAATAAAATTTTAATATTACTTATAAAACATTTAGTATATGCAATATACCTTAGAAATATATATATAAATTCCTATAAATGGCAGACAACCCTAAGGCAGACCCAGAAAATGACGGCATGATGTTCTGAACTCCTTTGTGGAAGACTGGTCCTCCATAGCACAGAACCATGAAAGGTGGAAAAAGGTTGGGGAGGCCTTTGCCCAGCAGTGGGACATTATGGGCTGATAAGAACATACATAGGTACATATAATCACACCTCTTTCCCGTAGGGGTAGGCAGAGACCACTTCTTTCCACTTACTACGATCCTTGTTTTGCTTTGTCCACTTTCATTATTCCCTTCATACATGCTCTACGGCTGATAAGAAGAATGTTTAAAACATACATATTATAACATACATAAATTCTAATAAGTTGTTATTAAAGAATTAGATATAGTTACACTATTTGTGTTATATAGGATAAAGAGAAGTCACATTATCAGCATACAGTAAGTAATCAAAGAAAATGATGCTTTGTAAGGTTGTCCATTTAAAAAATATACCATCCTTAAATAAATCTTTGTCTTCATATTAAGATGTAGAATAATAATAATAAATATTTATTACAGGATTTCAAAGTTTCCCAATTTCATACTCACAAACCCTCGTTCATTGATTCATTACAGCTTATCAAAAATCCAATGTTAAACATAGGCCTCCTCATTGATGGGGCCTCATGGAAGGGGGATAATTGCCATAGTTGCCACGTCTAACAGGGAGGTTGGCAACCGCTGTTTTTTATTATTTTGAGCTATTATCAAGAAGATACTGCTATCCACACTCTGTTTCATTTCCCTCTGTTGTCTCTTACAACACCCACCAGTTTGTTAATGTGATCTATTCATACATATTGCAGCAATGGATCACAGTGGAAAACAAACGCCCAGCGTTTACCTAAAACACTAAAGGTTAAATAATACAATTTACTTTTTTTTGAAGTACATATTATCAGGACGTAATAACGTTGTATTAACATCGTCATTTATTTCGTAATTTAATAAAAAATGTCTTATATCAGACGCATTTCCACGAATTTGATATTTCGCCAGGGTTCACCTTGTTTTGAAAGTGACGGTAGTTGACATAAGACCATTAGCGTCCAAACATCTACCGACATTTGATTGTAAGGATTGGTTTATCAGAAAATTCTCAAAAATAACATAAATATACTCACACTCCTCCGTGGCACCATCGTTAAGCACATTATTTAAACGATTTATATCGTCAAACTGGGCAACTAAAGAAAGACCGATACTTGTTCCAGAATCAGAGTTTTCTGAACTCATTTTTACTTAGAATGATATTTATTTTACACTAAAACACACAACAAGTATTTGTGTTGAGAATATATCACATTTCAAAATTATGATAATCCTCAAAATAACACTTCAAAGCAACACTTTTTGGACTATATCCGATGAGAGCCGAAAAAATCAAATAACGGACGCGACGAACGTCAAACAAAACCGTTGAGTTGATTTGATACCAGTTGACAGTTGACACAAAGTGACACAGACTAAATATGATGCTTACGCAAAATGACAATAAATATTGCGTCAAAAATCAAACGTTATCGTTTCACGCAAAGAAAGGCTAGATTTGTATGAAATTCAATGTATTTTACAATATTATCAAGTAAAATAATAAATAATAAAAAATAAACTAAAACTAAAATTATAATGTAGACCCGTGATATAGTGTCAAGAATTCTGGGTGCGGTTATTTGCTGAAAGGCTGTACTTTTATTTAATTTCTAATAATTAATTACTGTTAATAAAATGTAAACGTGTACGCTAAGAGTAAATAAGATAGAAAAAGTACAAAAAGAGATATTTCAAATAATGTATTACTTGTATAGAACAATTCTTTTTAACGTCACTTACCTCAACAGACAGTCGATGATGTCGGTATCTTCTTATTTTCGATACACTTGACGAGACAATAGCCTATTATAAACATCAGAGCACTGGTTTCGTCGTTTTTACTAAAAGTTTATATGGTCACAGTAAATAGGAAATGGCCAGCAGCATCTTCCTAATAATACCTTCACTATAGGGATGCCCGATCTGAATCGATTTTCTGGAAGATCAATTCACGGCCATACGATCTGCCGATTTTTAAATCGATTCAAGGGAATACAATCTTCACCCAGATCGATTCGTATGGCTATAAGATCGTATGAAAAAATCGTATCAACTATAACCTAAACATCAACCAAACAGTAACGTCCTAACGTATGAACTGCTCTTTGCATGCCTATCGTATTGCTGGGGAGGGGACAGAATAACTAAAACAAAGTTCTTACTTTGTTTTAATTATTGTTTTACTTAGTACCTAGTACATTAAAGGAGAGTAGATTCGAGTTACATTTAAAACGGTAGTATATGAAATATGAAGGTAGGTATGATAATATTTTGTTTATTTTATCATCGGGTACCTATGTTAGTGTTATATGCTATTTCATTCTTTGTATTTTTGCGATACGAAAAGTTGAACTGTTCTGAGAACGTAAACTATTACTTTAAAATACTTTTTAATATGGCCACGCCAACCTAATCAGACGCTTGGGCTTTCTTTTAATTAAATGTTACATGGGTGGACAATGTAAAATGTGTAAAAAGATGGTTAAAAATAGTAGAAAAACTACCAATTTAAAAAATCATTTCAAGAGTAATCACATAGGTACTTATTTTGAGCTAAGCAAAAGTGCAGAAAGTTCTACTGCAGCAATTGCCGAAATTGTAAGTATCTATCTTCTATACAAATAAATAAAATTGAAGTGTCTGTTTGTAATTTCAAAATAACAGCTTTTTACTGAATACATATCAACGTATCAAAGTATATACGGTACATATATAAAATAAAAATTAAAAAAAAAATCTGTCTAGATTAGCCGGAACAAACAGACAGACGTCTGTCTGTTTGTTCCGGCTAATCTCAGAAACGGATGGGATGATTTTGACAGGAGTTTGACTGACAGATAACCCATGTTACAGGGAATAACTTACGCTACTTTTATTTAGAAAAAAGAAAATTTAATGTAGATAGCTGGAATTCATAGTGTAAAAACTGTTTTATACTTTTCAAAAATAATTATTTGGAAAAACTCACTGGATACTGTATTAAGTATTGTAAAAATAAATAATTATGCATGCACACTGTGCTTTTCTTTATTTTTATAAAATTACGATACGATTTTCCGAGATCGAATAAAATCGATTCAGTGCAATATCACTAGATCGTAATCACGAGGTTACGATCCATTACCATCCACAAGATCGATTCAAAGCAAAAAATTGGGCATCCCTACTTCACTATAGGAGTAAGACTCCTAGGTGTCTGCCTGCGTGTGTCTCACCCTATTACCTATTTCTGACGCCATGCAGCAATGCTGCTGTAGTCCAATCAAAAAAGTATAGAAAGCCGATATAATTATAAGCTATGGCATTCCATCTTAGTCATTAGGGGTAACAATGCATTTGTAGCCTTCTTCGGATGAAGTTGGCTGTAGGGGTCCATGGACTTCAGTACCCGACCTTGAAGTAAACTGAAACTTCATTTCACACTTCAATTTTATATAAAAAAAAACTCAATATTATTTTAACGAAACTCCGGATGTCAACTCGCCTATGATAGAGTACGCCTATGTTCAGCAATGAACTAAAATAGGTTATAATGATGACAATGGACACCAACAAGCTATATGCCCTAATTATATTCTATTAATATCGCCTGTAATTGTAAAAGCGTATTTTGTACCATGCAAAAAAAAAAAAAAAATAGATACAACACGTAACATAATTAACGCACATCCTGAAAGTAGTTTGTTCAGAATCGTTTACTCAATCGATTTCTATCATTTTTAATATAGGTAATTTTTTATCCCAAAAATAATTAAAACTACGTAAATTACAGTCACACTAAACAGTTTGTTTTGACTGTACAAAACAAACTGAAATGTACGGTAACTCAAGGCAATAAGACTTTTAAAAGTGCAGTTTTATTTGTATTAATACAAATTCTGTCATTCAATACAAAATAAAGAAAATTGAACATTATTTCAAGCCTTTTAAAGTCTTTACAAATACAGAGTTCGTAGTGCCTTGGAAAGTTCGCGGCGGCTATGGACAGCCATTGACCTCCCAGATCAGCTGATTTGACGCCTCTTGACTTTTTTTGGGGACGTATTAAATCATTAGCTTCTTTTAGTGAGACGAGAAGTGCCGAGGACCTAAAAATAGGATAGTGAACGCTTTTAGAATAGTGAAAAATGACACTGAATTGCTTTCTAAATTAAAATATCATTTAAGAAAACAGTTATTAAAATGTATTGAACAATGTTGTGGACATTTAGAAAGTGTATTATAATACAAGGTTGCATGAGAGTTTATCAGTAAGTTAAATATTTGATTCTCAAAATTACTGCAGTCTTGATTCACATCTTTTAAACACGCCGTCTTTGAATTATGTTCTCGTATTGCCTCTTATTTTTGGCAGTTCATTATTATTTACAATTACAATTAAAATGAATAAACAAAATTATTCAAAGTCGAAATTCCAAAGCCTGAAATGTGTGATGAAAAGATGCAATCAAATGTTTACTAGACTTAAATAAACAACTCGATGTTCGAAGTTTTGACATCTGTCAATGTTCATAGGTAGGTATTTCTTTAACGTAACCAATCATGTGTTGTCGGCTTTTTTCGGCACTAATACCTGCCTACAGTTGTGTCAAGCGGCGGCGGCGTTAACTCGTCTCGAACGCGAGCGAATACCTAATAGGCTAGCAAGATCCTCATATAACCTATACCTAGCGTTCGTGGATTTGTACGGTGACCACAACATTCTTCCGGAATTAGTATAACTAATTTAATAAATAATCAATGCATAAACATGTTTAACTAAGAATTCAGGGTATGTATTATGATTATAACATAATATACTAATTGAGGTGTCTGAGGATGTGCGTTAATTACGTTAGATATTGTATATGATAGGTTTTGTAAAGAGTAAACAAGGAATGTTGATTTCAATTTATAAAAATGCATTTTAAATTTTATAATTTCATTTTAAGAATATGTTTTTTAATCTGTGTCTCAAATGTCCAAAACGCTATCCGCTAGTTTTGGCAAGAACTCGACCGGTAGGGGATTGCTACAGGAGTCTGTACGATTGTTTAAATATGGTTAATGGTTAATAAATATGGTTTTAAGTAGATTTCGATTTGTAAAAGTGGTGAAATTTTGTGTATTAAATGTCTGCATATGTGAACTATTTGTAAAAACGGTGAAACGCTTCGATGATGATGTGAATCTCAAGATAAGGTGTCTGTCTGCTTAGATGCCTTGAGATACTATCGCCAATTGCCTGCTGACATAAGTTTCCGTCGAAGTCTCCCAAAAACTACGCAATGTGACGCATCAACATATTTTGAAGCAGTGTCCTATACAGGATTATTATCACCACAGAATGAATAATAGCATAAGAACAGAAGGATCACTCTCTGATAGAAAATTTGCGAGTTTGAATCTAGTCACAATGTTGCCAATGTTCATAATACTTTGCATGCCTCAGAAGAGACCTTCAAGAGAGAAATTAGCCTACGGCGAAACAAAAATTAATACGGCGCGCGTATTAAATCAAAATGCACGTTACGTCCGCCTACGGATGTCAATATCACTCAGCCCATTACGCGCTTACGCGCATTACGTTTATTAAGGCCACCCCTACTGTAGGGTTAGGTATTGTGAGAAAACAAATTGAATCCTTTGATATTAGTTGGTATACATATAGTAGAATCCACCGAGATGTTATGCACTGTATTAGTATTTTTTTTAATTTTTTGTTATTTTGTTAAAAAAAAGTTACTCCCACACTATTTTCCCCTGTATCGTGGAGGCAGTTGACAAACATAAATTACACTAGCACACACATCTTGCCCCAGAACAACTATTTGTAGGCCATATAAATACTTGCTCCGTGCGGCATTGTTGCCCGCGGCCCCAGCGATGCAACTCATTGCTAAGCAACTGGGCCACGGAGCCATCGATTTGTTGACAATAAAAAATTGTTCAATGTGAGGAAGATTAATATACAACATCGAGAAAAATTAAGATTATAACAACGTGAACGTCTTTGAAACTCAGATAATTTACCTACTTACTGTAATAAAATAAACGCTAGCTGGTTCAACACTGATTTTATTATTTTTATGAAGGTACAATATCCACACAAAATATCCGTCTACCCACAATATACTACATCCTTCCCCTTTTATAATGAACACTGAAGTACAAAAGATTTATAACAAAAAAAAAAAGCTATATAATGAAAACAACTGAAAGATAACGCTAACTGTAGAAATGAACCGTATACCAAATACAAACTCATACAAAATTAATATAAATATCATAATAACGAAGCCACCCAGGCGTAATATGAACATATTTCTATATAATATGTCATAATATAAATCACTTCTATGTTTTATGATTTAGTTTTATAATTATTAAATGAAATTACAAAACAATAGTAAACCTAAAAATAAACGAAAATAAGTCAACATCTACAGAATACAGAGCCTTAAAAATATACACTTAATATGAATATGTATATTAGTTTGCAAATAACTTTTATACAAAACAACTATTATATTTTTTCTTTCATCGCATATTTCATCTTAGCCATAAGTCGTGTTTTTGACCTAGTTATTGGAGGATTAATGCATGGGCTATGACCTTCCGTATCCGTTTTACTATCTGTCGAATACAAAGGGTCAAACTGTTCTGGGTTTGAAGCTACAGCCTTGGCCGTTAACTCAGCTGACTTAGCGTTACTTGCACTCGGAGCGCAGGCGGCGGGACGTGTTTCATCGCTGTCTGCATATCGTACTATCAAGTGACGGCGATTGCGCCTCAATCGGCGTCCGCGCGAATCCTGTACTATGAACGAACGTGGTTCCTGCGACGGTCTAATAATAGAAACGGGTTTCCTATTTCCGTTATCCTGCAGCAGCACCGCTCCCAGCGCTCTAGCACTCGCGTCTACCGACACCACCACCGGTAGCTCCGTCGAGTAAAGTGCTAACACTGGTGCAGATGAAATTTTATTTTTAAGACTGTCTATAGCATCTGAATGATGTGCCTCCCACAGCCATTCAGAATTCTTTTTTAATAAACTTCGAAGCACGGACACACTATCCGAATAGTTTTGAATAAATTTGGAAAGATAATTCACCATACCCATAAATCTCTCCAATGCTTTACGATCTGTAGGATACGGCATACCCATAATAGCTTTAACTTTAGACTCGTCTGGTTTTATCCCATTCTTATCGAATTTATGTACCCAAATAAACAATTTCTCGAACTCCAAACTTACATTTCTCCTTATTAAATTTTATACCAATTTCTCTAGCCCTATTCAGTAAACATTTTAGCCTGAAGTCATGTTGTTCTTTAGTATTCCCCCATACTATTACATCATCAATAAAAGAGTCAACACCCTCCAAATCTTCCAGATATTGTCTTAACTTTGCATGAAATACTTCTGGAGCACAATTTACTCCATACGGTAGCCTTAGAAACTGGTAACGACCAAACGGTGTTCCAAATGTACAAAGATCTGCGCTGGCAGGATCAATTTGAACCATCCAAAAACCAGAGCGCGCATCCAGCAAGCTGAAATACGTAGCACCGCGCAGCCGCGCTGCCAGCTCGCTCACCGTGGGCAGCGAGTAATGCGCGCGCCGCACCGCGCGGTTAAGCGGTCTCGGGTCCAAACACACACGAATATCACCATTCTTTTTTGCTACTAGCACAATAGCGTTAACCCATTCCGTAGGATGAGTAACTTTCCTGATAACGCCTAATTTTTCCATCCTACGTAACTCTGCTAAGAGTTTGTCTTTCATCCCCAGTGGTATTTTCCTAGTAGGGCAAATCACTGGCTGTACATTTTTATCTACGACAATAGAATACTGTCCAGGTAACTTACCCAGTCCTTCGAAGAGATCAGAATATTTATGTATATTTATACCGTCAACACGGGATACGAGTCCTAACATGACACAGCCTTCCAATCCCAGAACATTTTGACAGTTTAAATCTGCTACCACAAATGGTAAAATGTAATGTTTACTTTTATAAATAAATGGTAATTCGTACATGCCCAGAATAGGTAAATTATTACCAGTAAAAGATTGTACACATTTGTTAAAATATTTTAGGTTATGAATCGACATGCCTAAGTTTAAATAATAATTTTTCGAAATCACATTCAACATAGAACCTGTATCTAGTTTAAATTGCACTTGTCTACCATTACATTGAAAAATAACATTCCATTCTTTAGGTAACTTACATTTTTTATCCTGGCTTAATATCATGTCCACATAGAACATTTCGGCATCTGACATGTTTTCGGGCTCACACACATTCAAGTTTAAAACCTTATCGCGTAATGTATATTTATGCACACACACTTTAGCGAAATGCCCTTTTTTATCACACACATAACACAATGCATCCCGCGCCGGACACCGGTCGTCGGTGGAGCACCAACCATTGCCACATGACAAGCAGCGTGTTCGCGAAGCCGCCGACCCGGCACCGAACACCGGTCCGCGACCACGCCCGCCGCGCCTCGCTCCGTGCGACCCTCCACGGCTGCGTCGTACACCGCCGTAGCTGCGACCGCTTGCATCCCTTACAGCATCAACTCGCATTTCACTACCGCCAGGACTATTCTCGATGCATGAACTTTCCTCCTTCGATATTTCTGCCACTTGACATATCTGGACCGCCTTTTCTAATGTTAAATCATCCGTACGAAGTAGCCGATCACGTACAATGTTACTTATGATACCGCAGACAATTCTGTCCCGTATTAAGCTTTCATTTAGATTACCAAACTCACAAGATTGACTTAGCAATTTTAATGCAGTAACATATTGATCTATATTTTCGCCTTCCTCTTGGCCTCGTGTAAAAAACTTAAACCGCGATAACGTGACATTAGGTTTTGTCCCAAAATACTTATCAAACTTTTTCAACAAACACTTAATATCGTCTTCAGTTTCGTCCTTGAGGTACGTGAAGGTCGAATAGATTTCGTAACCCGCCGACCCAATGAGGTTGACCAGTAAACTAGCCTGCACTGAACTTTCCTCGTTAGCCACTCCGGAGGCTTTAAGAAACACCTCAAATTGTTTCCGCCACTTGCGCCATGAGTCTGCTCGAGCAGCGGGGCCGCCTTCGAGCACTAATTCTACGGGAGGTCGCGCGTGTTCCATCACTTACTTTTACACAAAGTACACAATTTGCATCAAAAATAAGTACCCTTATCAACAATGTTACTTTTACATTGACTATGTAATTTATTTTCAACACCGCTGCCACCATGTAATAAAATAAACGCTAGCTGGTTCAACACTGATTTTATTATTTTTATGAACGTACAGTATCCACACAAAATATCCGTCTACCCACAATATACTACACTTACCATTTTAACCGACTACAAAAAAGGAGGAGGTACACCATTCTACTGTATTTTTTTATGTGTATCAACTTAGAACTATTTTTCTAGGTGAATCGATTTTGACGATTCTATTTTTATTTGTGAGTGAAGTGATGAAGAAGTGCTGTTATTTTCAATCTCTTTCTTTTATCGACCAAGTATTAAACTAATAACCAGTATATTATGCTTATCTTGCATTACTGTCACTACTCACACTGAACGAAATTTTAAAGTCATTGGCATTATACGGGAAAAAATCGAAAACTGGGAAGCTGTGATCGGGTTACTTATCAAATAATAAATCTGTAACCATGGCGTCAGTAACTAAGTACCTAAGTATCTAGATCTACCTACAAATAATAATATATTACCTAGGTATCCTTAAGAACTGTAAAGAATAAAAAGTCAACATTCCTATTGTTATTTAAACACCTGCATGCTATGCAGTACCTTTTGGCTTACGCGTCAGCTCAAGCGCACGCGTGACAACCTCACGGAATGAGGGCTAATGATTTTCTGCTCGCCAGATGTCGCTAGTTGACACTGAGATAAAGTTTTTTGTTACACAATGTAATTTAATTGAGAAGTTGTTTTGTAATAAAAGTTTATCAGTTTATGGAGTATTATATTAATACACAAAAAAATGCGTCATTGGTAGGTATGTTCTTTAATTTTTTGCACATTTTTTACTTTTTTTTTAATTTTTCTACCTTAATGAATATTTGTGGCTTAGATTATTTATTTTAATGTTATTAATGTAAAATATACCTAACAGTACAGAAAGAAATATAAATTTTACATTTTCCGAACAAATTAACTTCCCCGCTATGAAATATGTCTAATATTATACCTCACTTTCTAGTGGCGCCGCCCTGATCCCAGAAAAAGTCGTGGATGCCCTTATTAGACCCATGTAGGGGGCCGTGCTGCGTAGGTATATTTTTATGCCTAAATCGTGGAGTGAGACAGGCCTGTTATCACTTGATACTGAGATAAATGAAACATGGTTTAAAAGACAAGCATCCAAGTCAAAAACCTTGAATAAAAATGATAGTGAAAATTATAAGTCCGTTTTGATCGGTTTTGAACGGGAGTTTTGGCGGGAACTTGACCGACGGCGGTTTGATGCTCCTGTATTATAGTTTAAATAATAGTTTGAAGTGGAATTTGATATGTAAAAGTGGTGCGATTTTATGTATAAACTATCTACGCATGTGAACTATTAGTGGAAACGGTGAAAAGGGTGCTGTGATGGTGATGGATTCTCAAGATAAGCTGTTTGTTTGCATGGGCGCCTTAGATACTATTGCCAATTGTCAACTGTCTGCTGGCTCATGTTGCCGTCAAAATCTCCCAAGGGCTGCACAATGTGACGCATCAACATATTGTGAAGCAGTGAAATTCTATAATATTCAAAATAAAAAAGACAAGACTGTATGGCATAGTTTCTTTGCCTGCTTTCGCGAGCGAATAATAAAAACAACAAAGGTTTTGAACGTAATTAGCGTGACAGTTGACATGAGTTGACAATTGACATTTGTTGTAGGAGGGACGGTTCGGTATCGGTAAATCGGGAACTGTCAAAGTGTCAAAGCGCGATGACGTTCGGTTGAGGAAGGTGGTGTAGTCGCGCGAGTCGTGAAGACTATCGTATTGCTATAACATAATAATTGTTTTCGATTCTATAAGCGCTTAAATCCGCGTCGCGATTGACATGGCGGACGAGGAAAATAATTGTGATGATAGTGGTGGTGATTATAAGGCGGGGGAAGGTCTCCGATTGCGGGGCCGCAAGGGTGCTCTGAAAAAGAAGAATGTTTACCTCGTTAAAGATCACAAATTTATGCCGAGGTTCTTCAAGCAGCCAACATTTTGCTCACACTGCAAGGATTTTATATGGTAAGGGCATTACTATTTTATTGCGGACACCTTTTGAGTTAGATCAAACCTTTATGAGAACTTTAAAAATAGGCTTTTGTTTACGATGTAAATGCGTGCGGTTTCCGTAGGAGCTGTATGATAAGGCGTCTAAATCACGGTATTATCTGAATCACTTGGCTAGGAACGCTAATTTAGAAGTCTTTGTGAGATCATTAAATTATTTTGGCTTTGCTGTATGTATATGAAACATTATATCCAGTAATAAATATGACATGGTTTTATAAATTTATAATACATAACGTTCTTATGTAAAACAGTAAATAATAATTATTGAGTTTATGCTAAAAAAAATATAGATATATTTTGTATGCTTCATTACATCGTATTAAACTTAATAAAAATATAATTCATATTGACTGTGTATTAAAATATATTTAGACTATATTGCAAGTTCAGAAGAAAAATGTTAAATATTTTTTAATCATTTATTTCATAAAGTAAAAGTTTTTGGTACCTAATCTAGGTTTAAAAAAAAGTTGTTCGGTGAAAGCATTCAATAAAAGTCCAAAATAAATTAAATTAAAATTTGATGTACATATTATTATAAGTAAGTTATTTATTTGGTATTCTTTAAGCAATTACATGTTTCATTTTTGTATGGATTTTATATTCAATAACCCTTATCCTTATAAGAAAATAAAAATATGTTTATAAAATTCTAATTGGAGTTATAAATTTATGGACATATGAAAGTAATCAGCAGAAATACCTTCTCCTTACAAATAATTTGCTTGAAATATTAAAAAATAATAATTAGGTAGGCACCTGTGAATTTTAATAGAAAAGACGCAAGTAATTTTTTTTTATTACATATTTAAGTATTAAGTATTTTAGGTATGTGTGATTAAAAGATTTATTATGTTATGTTTGCAAACTATTTTTTAGGAGTTTTAATAAGATTTCCTTAATATCACTTGCATTACAAAATCACATTGAAAATACAGTCAATGGTATGATTGCGAAATTAAAATCAGCAGCATAATATTATTTGAAAAATTGTTACAAATATGTATTATGAGCCTGTGGACTTGTAAGTGCTGACTATTAGGCAATTAATCTTTACAAAATAATCTGATCATTAGATTTTGATCTGGGCCTTATAGACCAGTGATTGCCAAACAGCTTAAATACGGTCCGCGAAAGATTTAAATATTTTACTTACCTATTTGTTTTAAATAACACATTTATTATATTTTCGTCAAGCGGGCAGTGCAACACCACAATTCACATTTAATAAGTACGTACTAGCTTTTACAATAAATACTCAAATAATACTGTTAATGAATGCTTCTTTTCAGTTTACTATATAATTATGTTAAAAGTTGTGATTATAATTTTTTGTTAGATTAACACAGTTTTTTCTTTCACCTTTTGGTCCCTGCTAACTACAAAAAAATCAAAGTAGTGCCTGGTGAAAAAAAGGTTGAGAAACTATGTTATAGATAAATATATAAATATAATGTTAAACATCAAATATTGCCTAGTAAGGGAGTCTGCAGTAGGAATATTTATGTAAAATATACAGAGGAATATATTTTAAATATATTCCACCATTTATCAAGGTCTGTTGCCGAGGGTCTTTCTTAAAATGTGCAAAATTATGTAATTCTTAAATATTTGCTCACTATAACTATACTGGACATGAGGGTTGGTAAGTGTAGTACTAATATACCATATTATATTGGTATTGGTTGAAGTCGAAGTTCTGCTCCTAACCGTCACCAGAATTTGTGATACACACTGTGCATTTGAGGTTAGCATTTGGAATTGGTATATTCCTCCATAGACCCTTAAATTAATATTTAAGATTTTAAAAATTACAAACAGATATTTATATATTGCATTTTTTATATAGGCCTTCATCATATATTACCACATAGGAGGATCTCTCGCTCTATCTGTTCTTACAACACCTACCGGATAATATGGGACTTTATTGCTTAAAAATTTGTTAAAATTTTGTGCAATATGATATTGTGCCATGCAGTGTGTACATTTTATATTACCTTCAATAAAGCGTGCGACTATGAACATAATTTGCATTTTCGAAATAATGTACTGTTAATATACATTTAGAACAAATGATATTGCTCCACACAATGAAAATATAATCTGAAGTACGAAACCGGTTACAAAATTCGGTAACAGATGGCGCGAATATTGCATTTCGTATGTTATTTCCTAGGCAAATATTGGCATTAATAATGGCTTTGTAACATATAGAATTACATTGATGAGTTCTAGGATCAAAATAAATTCATTTGTGTAACCCCATTTCATTTTACGTAAGTTTCTTGGATTTTTTTCTCTTAGCCAGCAATAATTTTTAAAAATTTTGTACCTTGTATATTATGCATATAATAAAAAAAAAATTATCGATTACATGAAATAGCGTATGTAGGTAAAGTAAAATAACTTTTCTGCGTAAATATAAGTACCTATATTGTTCGCATGTAGGTCAGCCTATTGAATTATAAAATGGTAAACAGTGATTTATAGCATTTTGTTCATACCTAATAACTTTCTGTTCTTTAAAATGTTCACTGCTGGTCTTAGGCATCTCCTCGCCAAGTTTGGCTGGTTCGTATGCGATCGCATTTCCAAACGTTTCTATCTCCTCCTAATGCTTCTTTATCGCTTCCCTCTCATCGACTTTAATCTCAGGAACTGCGATATTTCACTATGCATGTCAACTTAGCCTTCCTTACTACTCAGTATGCCTTTTCAACTTACGGTATGATGGTAGGTCCTGTCATCTTGAACAGTTTCCTCTCTGATTTTCTTTTTGATACTGAACATGATACGAACGACTTGTACTTAACCTTTTTTGTA